TAATAGTATTATCGAATAATATATAATACAAATAAGATTTTTATAATAATTATTTTTATATCATTAAATAACTGTGCACGATAATGTGTATATACCTTTAATTAAACGAAAATGTTTATCCTTAAATTTAATAAATTGATATTTTACATTTTAGAATATTCTTGAATGCAAAACTCAAAATATTTTCCAATATGCTATAAAACAAACTCTTTTACTTTGTTACCAGCATTAAAAGAAAAGATTGAATTAGTTTAGATATAGATTCTGTTATTTTGTCGAGTGGCTCTCTATCTTTCATAACAGTTAAAAAATGTAATCTTCATTTATTAAAATGAACAAACTTACTTCTTTTATGCACAAATTGACTTTTAAAAAATACAACTTACTTAATTTTAGTCAAATCAATTGATACGTAGAACTGTAAAGAAAAATGAAATATAGTATATAATTCAGCATCAAATTTTATAACTAAAAATATATGGTTATTATATATTAATTATTGGTTTATTATATACTAATTATGCTATTCGTTATACATAATTTTAATAAAGCTTATAAATAAAAATAATAGCAGCTTAATACTTTTAGTTATAATATTATGCTAAGAAATATATAACGTATTGCATTACAGGCAGTGATGTTATATTATATTTTAAATGCTAGTAATTTAAATTAAAATAATATTTATAATTTTTTAAATATACAAGTATACACTAGGTATGAAGAATACAAAATTTTAAATGAAAGGAAATTCATATTAATTTATATACTTAAAAACATTATAAAGTATTATTTCATTTTATTTAAAAAATTTATTAATATTGCACCTAATGTACAACGTTCAATTCAAATTATAATATATTATTCATAAATTAAATTTTACAAAAAATGTTCTCCTCTTACTTTAAATTAAATATTTATATAATTATTAATTATTAAAGTTTTTAAACAAGATGAATTATGCAATATTTTTCATTGAATTTAGTGCAATTCATTAAGTAATACAATGCAAATTTATATAAATTTAAGTGCATTTATTTTCATCTTCCTTAAGTGGAATGAATATATTGTAATTCTTCATACATTGCAATAATATTATTAAAACTAGATACAGTAAAATTTTCTGTAATTTGTGGTATAAATATAATCTAGTATATTTAAAAATATTAATGATTTATTGCATTTCTAAATTTCTAACATAATATTTTATTGTTTTATAAATACTTGTATCAATGATTGGTTATATAATTATCATTAGCTACATAATTATGTAAACAGAAATTTGGGTAAAAATTGCAAAATATACAAACAAAATACAATAAATAGTATATATAATAATATAATGGAAATTTTAGATACTTGATACTCGTACGGTAACTCAAAAGTTTATTTCTACATAATCAAATTCAGAATCTTAATATTCTTTATATATGCGCACTTATCAATTATATATATAAGGAGAATAAGATACATCAATTAGAAATATTATAAATATTTGAGTATCAAAAACTAAAACAATCATTAATTTAAAATAAAAACAGTTTTATAATTTTTATTTATATTACCAGATTTCTCAATTCATTGTTATGTTTATAATTACATATATGTATACTATTAATTAGATCCAAATTTTAACTGATTATTTATAATTAATTAATTATTCAATTTTTTTAATTTTGTTAAATTGAGTAATTTTGTGATAATAAAAGCATACAATGTATATTATCCATTGACCAATAAAATAAATAGGTTGCATAGTAAATTTTTTGTTTATTGTAATTGAAATTGCATGAAGTATTTAATCCATTCCATTGCTTTTTGAATGGTTGAAATTAAAAAGTAAATGAATTTATTCAATTTCTATTTCTATGAAAAAAGTAAAAAATTCGACACGTATTTTTTCATAACACTAATGACAACGGTCGAGTAGCTGTTACATGCAAAAATTGGGTTAAATGCGTTATTTTTTAATTTAATATTTCCAACAAATAAGGTTCCAACATTTAAGGTAAATCAATCTGAAAAAATGGAATCTGTCATAATTCATTGCAAATTTTTAGTAAATCAATATCGAATATAATAAGTACCACTCGTTCAAATATTAAATAATATAAAAAAATACTGTAAGATCATAACAATGTTAGTAATTCCAATAGTGCTATATAAATAAGTTAAGTAATGAATAACATTAACAACAAATAAAAATATTATTATAAAAACATACAGTATTAAAAATAACATAAAATTATAAATAATTAACAATACAATATTATCATTTACACATATTAAACCATATTTATATAAACAAATTGTATATTTGTAAGTATGATAAAACACTAAAAACATAATCAAAATAATTAATGAATGAAAAAAAATATAATATATAACATACATATATATATTGTCATTTCGATAATTTTTTGTGGTTTTCAGATATTGAACAATTAAAAAAAATTAAACCTGGAAATAATAAAATTTATCTTATTTATTACATCAACATGTAATAATTACAATATGAATTTATTAATACAAAATTAATTAAAAATAAATGATGATAAATATTAAAAATTTGATGTGGAGTTTGGCTATCATACAAATGCTTAAAAATCATTTCATACATATATGTAAAATTAAACTATGACAAGAAAATAAAAAATAAAATTAGATTTTATATACATAATATATTTTTAAAATTCTACATCATTAATTTCAAATAATATAATTATATAATTAAATCATATAATTATAATTACTTATACTGTGAACTAAATCTAAATTTTTGATATTATTAAAATAGAAATCTGGTGATTGAAATCTCAATTTATTATTTTAAAAAATATCTAAAATTTAATGTAAACATTCAATTATTAGTTGATTGAGTAAAATGTAGGATAAATGTATATTATCATACAATAAATTTAGAATACTGAAAGAATAACATCTTTAATTAAGATTTAATAATATAATGGTTACAACAGTAAATTGATTTGCATATATTGCAATAAAATAAAGTTGAACAAATATCTTTAATATATATTAAATATCAAATATGAACAGATTTAGAATATTGCAAAATTGAGTATATTTATTGACAAAATACAAAATATATTATGAGTGGAGGTCATAAGTAAAGTCTGATGATTCGGTTCTATATTATATTTGTATATAAAAAATTTTAAATAAGAAAGCTTATTTATTTCTTTATTCTTGTTACAAATATCATCATCATATTGTACATTAAAAATAATGATCTCGGTCTTAATTTTTCAAAATTCTACGAATTAGAATTAAATATAAAACAGGATTTAAAATCTACTAAATTTATTTCACATCACGTTATAAAGAACATTCGAGATATTATTACAATATTCAAGAAAATATCAAATTAAAGTGCGCACAAAGGTATGACTATTTCATTTCATATTGTTAATAAGGGATACTTTCATGTCTATTTATGTGATTCTTCTTCTTCCTCTTCTATTATAATAAATTATTCTTTTATTTACAATTTAATTCTGATTAATATTTCTACAAAAAGCATGAATACATATATAAATAAAATATACCGATATTTTATTGAAAATTCTAGTGTTTGATATTTTTTTATTGCGATCAAATATTTAATTTACTAGTGCAGGAAATCATGTGTGGATCTACAGTGTTTCCAATTTTGAATGATGATTATATAATATTCATTTTATAACTTTAACCTGTGTAGTATGTTAAATATTTATGTGAATTAAACAAATTCCTAGATTTATGAAGAAATATAAAAATGAAGTACAAAAGCTTGGTAGTTTTACAGAGAAAAATTAAGTAATACTTATTTTTGAAGAATGCAAAATAGCCATAAAGTAACAGACCGATATTTGATAAAAATATCTTGTCAGTTACTAAAAATATAGCTGTATGTACGAAGATTAAAATATTATACAATATATTAAAATACGATTACATCCAAATTTTGTAATATTTCGATTAGATAAAAAATAAAAAATGTGCATAAACATGTATATATAAAAATGTAAAAAAGTATTTTTGGCTTTTTATATATTTCTTTAAAATTTAATACAATTTATATAAAGAATTTATTAAAAGTATTTATACATAGCATGACTAAGGATAGTTATTGTACAAAATGATTTTTTTTTAATACTAATATATACTTTAAAATGAATAAATTGAATACTTGGTCTAGATTTTATTTTATGGTATATTTATTTTAATTAATGATATAATGTTTTTTCAAAATTATAAAAATTTGAACCATTATTAATATATAAAATAATATAATTTTGGTGTTCAAACAGACAATCAAACTAATAAGTTTACTTTTATATTTCAAATATAATATTATTTTATACTTTTATTTATTAATAATTACGCGTTGTTAAGAATTCGGAACTATAGGTTTTACATGTATTTTTAGGAAAAAATAAAAAAAAATTACAAGCTGATATAACGTATTCTTAAAATCATGTCCTAAATATTTACGACGTTGACAGTAGGAATTAAAATGTTTCCTTATAGATTTATATATTTCTTAATGGTATAAAGGCAACACGCTAATTTATATTTTATTTATCACATTTTTTCATAATTACTTTTAATGAGTGTACTAAAGAATTCGTTTATTACGGAAACTGTTTAAACGTCAAAGCATTCTATTAACATATGAAAATAGTAATTAAAATTATATAATATAATATGCATAAACAAAATATTATTGTATATTATTTGCTAAAATTGTTTGTAGAAACTTTTTAACTGTAAAAATAAAGTCAAATTGGACTAAATATATATAGGCTTCTTGATAAATACGCAGATAGTTGTTTTACTTACATATCATTGGAGTTAATCATTTTTACAGTAGTTGGACTCAGAATTTAATAATCTGAAGAAGCAATTAATTGATCCAAAATAATATTAAATTATCAATTTAAAAATAATCGAGTTCTATTAATTTTGATTCACCAAGATTGCTAAATATAATTATATATGTAACGTCTCTCACTTATTCTATGTATTTATTTGAGCGTTGATCAAAGTTAAGCAATCATGTTTAATAAAAAAGTAATCTGAAACAAGTTTTAACAATTGTCGAGTAATCAAAAATATTTAGAATTCATTTGGATATAAATCGAAAGGATTACAGTTTTAAATTCTTAATATCAAACAAGATTGAACAGTAGATTTAGGATTTACTATCTAAAGCTAAATAACAAATTAATGTAAACAACTACGAGGGTAATACATGTAACATTAACTTAACAATTATATTCTATTATGATAAGTGGCACACGCGAACATTAGATTAAATGAGGAATAACGTACAATTTAATAAAATTAAATAAAAGCTTATTTACAATATTAAATTAATATAATCTAATAAACTATTTTTAAAATAAATTTTAATTTCTTTAATTATACATACTATTTACATAACACCATAAATGATTGAAACGAAGGTACTGACGATGCGACCCTTAAATTATAACTCAATCATAAAATGGCATAAGCTATTGATTTTTTTATTGTTTCATTAATTAATTTTACTAACAATTCATTAAATATTTTATTATAACAATTAAAAAGATAATAAATTACAATTTTTTTATTTTGAAGTATGACTACACAATAAGACTATTCAGACATTACAAATTAGAAACAAAAAATATCACTATTAAAAAAGTCAATAATTGATTGTATCTTCTAGAAATAAAAAATTATAAGTATTCATAGTACATATCAAAAATTTTAATTGAAGATATTGAATATATTAAATATAAAGTAAAATATAATATAGTAATATCTCATAAAGACAAATATTAAGTGACAAATTATAATCAGTGATTATTATTGTATAAAAATATTCAATAAAATACGAACGATTCCACTTTTTTATCACTATCAACTAAACAAATAAGTTTACATTGACAGGAAAGTGAATACAGCCGATATACACAAAACAGATTGTTACTCGTCAGATATTCGTGATAAAAATGGTACCAAACTAGATTTACTATTATTTATTATTTATTATTAGAATGAACATAGAAACTATCATAAATTAAAATAAGAGTTAGGAGAGGAGTACGAGAGGAAATAAATATATTTTATTATTATATATTTCATTTTCATTAAATCTATAAGATAACACTTTCTACTCACCGTAATAACTTACATTTCTATTTTGTAATAAAATTTCTTTTAATTTATAAGTATCTCAAAAAACTATTCAATTGTAATTCTTCATCATCTGAAAGATGCTAAAAAATTTTGTAGTTCAAAATATAATAGAATTTTTAAATATACCAAAGTGTACATTCGAAATTTAAATATATTAATTAAATCTACCAAAATCTTACTTGAAAAAATGTTTTGATTTTTGACTTACTCTATCTTTTAAAGCATTAATTTAAGATTTATTTAATTGTATAGGCCTTTTAATTTAAAGAATAAATGAGACGGAAGCTTATATGCAAACTTTTTTAATTTATGGTTGTTGAAAAAATTATACAAAAGCTTATTATTACTAACTTGCTTTGATCTTGATATTTTTTCAAAAGAAATTTTTCATACACTAACTGTGCCATCATACTGATTTTCGTATTCATTTTTTAATATTTAGAAATAGTAATTGCAAAATAACCTAATATATATAGAAGATACTTGTACAGTTTAATTATTTATTACTTTTATAAATACTTTTATTTTACACAATTTTAGTTTATATTTTTTCTTGTTTTTGTCTTAATCTTTTTTTAATATTTAAATATGTCAAATTTCAATGTGATTACTTTTTACAATATAATTACATTTTATTATTACAATTAAAATAAATTTAAATTAATTTGTATATAATACTTGATTAAATAGTATTTTATTTTTATTTTTTATTATTCATGATAGAAAATAGAAAAATATAAAATTCATACTGAATTTAGGTAGAAAATATTTTTATTTTAATATTTTTAATATTTTTCTTTATCAAATACAAATTATGTTAAAACATAATTATTGAAATATTGAAACAAAATGTTGTTTTACTTTGAAACTTTATTTTCAAAGGTATGTCATGGTACAATTTCTTTTTTTATAAAAAAAAATAAAACTAAACATAGTAAATTGCAGTTATTTGTAATTTTTCGACTTCTCTTTTTAACGATGAATAACTACTCTTTTATCACAAATTCCTCTATTTTATTATATATCTATAAATAATATTCGGCAGATATCGTAAGATTAATTTCAGAAATTAAATTAAAAATATTGCGTTTTTAAATTAAACAGATTATTTGCTATTTTTAATATGTGTATCTTTATTTTAAATTTTAAATTTCAATTATATTAAAATTACATGAATAGTTTTAAAATATATTATTAAAAAATATTTTAAAAAATGTTATTTCGCTATTATTATTTTTTATTATAAATTATTTTTTAATTTAGCAAAATAATTAAAATTTAGATAATATAAAAAGTTCATATTTATTCTTTTATCGCTAACTTCACTTGAAATTTTTAATTTTTAACAAAAATTTTCAAATTTTTGGATTAGTAAGATTATATGTTATAATTTTATTATTTATGGAAAACTTATTAGTTATATGTTTTTCAAATTTATATACTAATTTTATACAGACATTAATACGTTATAATAATGTTAAGATACGATAAATATTGCATTGAATTTTAAGTTAAATTATATCTAATTTTTTTTTAATAATTTTAAATTATTTAAAATATTTCATTACTTGACATGCGATGTATTTCAATTATTATCTAATTACTTAAGGATTTCTCGATTTCGCATTTTCATATCATTTATGAACATTTTTTTCCTATATCAAGAAACTACACTTTAGATATATTAGGAAATAAATCATTTCTGAAAAAAATATTTAACTTAATACAAAAAATACATTTTTGTATACTAAAAATTTATTCTCGATTATCAAATTCATTGGCAGAACAAATATATTTATTATTCGTATATGTTATGTTATATTTTATATTTTATTTTATCCTAATTAAAATTTTTTTTATAAAATATTCACTTTAGATTAAAAAAAAAATATGTTCAAAGTACCTTTTTATGTTTAAATATAAATATAATATGAATTTCATTGTTCTTCAACTTAATACCGGCACCTATGTTTATTTATCTTATAAAACAAATTAAAAGAGTAGATTTTTAAGGTGAACAAAAAGTTGATTTATTTTAATATATTAATATAGTAGTTAACTCTTAATTTGACAACTATTATTAATATTTTATATTATTTATTTATAGTTTTTGTTTTTATAATTCTGGATAGTATAATTATAATATATTTATGATATTATATATAACTGTTGAAATTAATATTTGAAAAGAAAGGTCTTTAATGAAGAAATATTAGTGAAATCTTTCCTAAAAATTTAAATTTAATTAAATGGACAAAAAGTGATTATATAAGCTTATTGTATTTGTTGACTCATATTTGTTCTTCATGTTTGTCTTGTCTTCACCATTTTCATTTATTTTTCAATTTACAATATTTGAAACTGTTCACAGATAAGCAATTTAAAAAATAATCGTTAACAGTTATTATAATATTAAAAATATTATTCAGGAATACAAAATATCAGATAAATTATTGTTACTTTTATAACTAATTAAATCATGTGATAGTTGTATATATGAATATTGATACAAAAATATGTACTTTCTATTATAAATTTAACTGTAGCTAGTTTCATATCATATTCAATAAATTATATAATAAAAAATGTCGTTTACTCAACATCAAATTCTACATATAATATACTAAACGTTATAGATATTTTATATAATAAAAAGATCTATAACATGTTTAATAATTGATTTCTTCTCATTCATTTCATTATATTTTGAATTTTAATAATCACCACTGTGACATTATGTTTCAAGTATATTTCTAAGTGAGACAATAATTATTTAAATTTATACAATAATTATATATTACCAAATTTTATTAAACAAACATTTTATTGTTATTAAATTATTAAGTTACCCCTGTTATCTATATTTTGATATGTGCACATTTTATTTAATAATATTCATTACATAGTAATTATCTAAAACTCGTTTTCATACAATTATTATATTTTATATTTTTTAATTGTAGTAATTTTAAATCAATTACCTACTTAGCATAAATTACTTATTTTGTGTTAAAATATAGCAAGAATCAAATATTTTGCTCATTTCATTCGAACAAAGTATTTATTTTTTATTCCTATTTATCATATCAAAACATATTTCAGAGAAATTTTATAAAATTATATTCCAAAGAACTCAATTATGGATATACATAGGTTAACACTATATAGACTAAAAATATATATCTATTGTTACAAAGTTTTTGATAAATAAACGAAATAACGACTAATTAATTGAAACATATTTTATTATTTATAATTTTTATAACAAAAGTATTAACTTTGCCAAATGATAAATAGCAAATTATAAATGATAAATTATTTAAAAAAGAGCTCTAAACGATATTAATTAGAAAGTATCTAACAACCTAAATGATTTGCTAATTACAAAACCATTAATTTATAAATTGCGTTAATAAATTCAGTTTTATGTATTATTTTGAAAAATCATATTATAAAATTATGATTTTAGAACATGTAATTAAATGCATAAAACTCAATATTAACATCGCTTCTTTTAATATTTTAACAAAGAACATTTATATAAATATTTTTGAAATTTTCTTAAAATTATTTGAAATAATTATGTATGGCCATAAACGTATTATTAGAAATGAAACGTATGACAATATACTTTATAAATTTATAAATGGTGTTCTTAAAATTTGATATTTTAAATAAGTACATTGTTTTTATTAACTATGACACAACTCACTTTAATTATATTAGTTAAATATGAATTATTTGATACATCTGCTGATGGTCATTGCATGTATTAATGTAATTAATATTAATAATATATTAATATATTAATGTATTAATGTATTAATGTACTATTAATGTAACGTATTACGTAAATAATATTTTTTGTAGTTGCATATCATACTTAATACGACTGCACTATCTTCATTATCTTTTCTATTTACTTTTCTTTTTTTTACTATCATTCTTAATCTGTTATCTTTTTGGTAGTAATTTATGTTTATTTTTTTTATTTAGTACATAATCATTATTATGCGTAGCTTGTATTTTGATTCTAATTATAACATCTAAAACGAATATTAAACGATTGAATTTTAAAGAATGTTTTTAGAATTTACAATAGTCAAATTAATTATTCAAAGTATAAATTATAAAATTATGTAAAACAATAAGAAATTAATAGATATACAAAATACAACAGATGTGATATGCACAATAAAATTAATATCACTCGTAGTCTATTCTTAAGTGATAAGAATTATTCATAATATCAATGACGATCATTCATTTACTTTGTCCAAGCATACTTATTTGAATAAAATATTACATTTATTGGTATAAAAATAAACCTGTCGCTACCAATAATTTTCCAAATATGATGATCAACACAAATATCACTTACTTAATCAAATATTTTTTTATATAAAAATTTTAACAGTTATTTTTTTAATTTTCAGTTGAACAAAGTTGTACTAATCTACAAAAATAGATTAAAATGTTGAAATTACTTTATAATTTTTAGGTATCGAAAGTTTTTAAAGGTGAAATAATTGATTTTTTATATTGTTTTATTAAATATTTAATTACTTAAAAACAAAAGAGGTTAATATAGATTTTATAATATATACGTATATATATATATATATATATATATATATATACATATTATTAATTATTAAAATAAATATATATAATTAATAACTAAAGTAAAATAGTTTTTATAAAAATTAACAATACATTATTGGATAATATGAAAGAGTGACAATATTATGAAATTGTAGTCACGAATTATTCAAAACTATAAAAAAACAAATATTCTTCAATTTATGCAGAGCAGAAAAATTCATCAATAAAAAAGATTCAAAATTTTTTCTTTTTAAAATGAATCACAAATACCAATAGCAAAAAGAGGATTTTAACAATTTTTATTACATATTTCTTATAAAATATGTGGGAACTCTTGAGTTAAAAAAGTTCATTTTAATTGAATTCACCGAATTGAGTTTGCTTAATTAAATATACAATTACTAAAAATAAGTTATATTATTGCTTTATCATCCACATAAATAGTTATTTTTCTTAATTTAGATTTTTCAACTCAGATTAAATAATAGTTTTATGATTTGCTTCTGTAAAATGTGTAATAATATACTGAATTCTGATATTTAATGTTTCTTTTCAAAAACCTATGTTTTTGAATGTAGGAAATGTATATGAACTACTTTTTCTATAATAAAACTAAATTTTTTTATAAAAGACTTATAAAAGTCTTATATGATTATTGTATGATCATTTAAAAAATGTAATACATTACAAATAATTTTATTACTGTAACGATTTATTAAAATATTTATAAAGTTGAATAAATTCACAAATTAGTTACACTATTAATATTAAATAATATAAGTTAAATATTTACGAACTTTCGAGATATAACATTTAAAATACTTAAGTTTAGCAGAGATAAGAAAATAAAAATAAAAATATTACTTGAATAAACAAATAAAAAATGAAAAATAATATAACTAATCGATTATTTTAAGTTGATAATATTTTTAATTTTTAAGAAGTTAAAAACGTAGACAGTTGATGTGGCTTCATTTGCAAAGTATAAGAATTTGAAAGGGAAAGAAAAAATATGTTCAATATTATTAGTAAATTTCTATACGTTTCTCGTTTTTTTTTTACTGATAGTGAATTTGAAAATGTACAAAAATAATTAAATTAAAACTTAAATAAATGGATTATATTAAAAAACCTAAAATATTTAATATCTCGCAATCATGTAAAACCAATAAGTGTTATGCAATATTTTTTATTCATTATTATTAAATGAAATTAGTAAATAAAACATTGATTTTATAGATAAAATTATTATTCATACTATCAAAATTGTTTTATCAGTATAAATCACAAGTTTTTGGAAAATGTTGTGCCTGTGAAAACCTAATTTACACATTCTAATTATGTTATTTAGATTTTAAATTATTTTGTGAATCTCAATAAAGAATACATCAATAACTTTTAATTCATTTTATGAATATAAATTCAATTTAATTAAAGTAATAAATACGATATGGCAATCAACAAGAAACAAAACAAGTATTCTTTCTTAAAACATAATTTTAATTCTTACATATTTTTTACAGAAAAAGTATAAATGAATTTCTATACTTTAATATATAATTTTTTTAATTAGTCTGTTATTAATCAAAAGTTTAACATTTTCAATATTATTTAAAAATATAATTATTACATATTTGTGTGTAAATAAAAAAAGTTGATTAAAAATTATAAACTTTTTTTATTGTTTTGATTAAATTTATAAGTTTTTTATTCTATTCCAATTTAATAAAATAAATAATTTAAAGTACATAGAATGGAATTATGGAACAGTTAAAAAAATAATACTCAAACAAATACTAATAAATCGTAAATATAGTATTTATTGTGGTATTAATACTTTATATATTTTGAAAAATAATTAAAAAGTAGTAATTAAATCATATTAATTTATTTGAAGAAGAAACAAAAAAAAGTAATGATTCAAAATCAATTAAAAATTGGTAATGGTATTATTCAAATTCACTGCATTGATAAATTAATAATAAATAATAATTATACAAATGACGATATTTTAAACTATAAAATTGCTTTTCCTATTTTATGCAATATAAAATTTGTATTAAAAATCATTTAAATATTTGTTTTTCATTACAAACCATTAAAAAATTATTAACTAAAAATCATAACATTAACATTCTAATTAGAAAAATCTTTGTAAATCAAACTAGTGTGTAGCGTAGTTGAACGATTCAAGTACGCTCGCACGCAAATATATATCAATCAATATACATATACATTACATGAACATCGGATTTGTTCAATTGAGAAATCATCCGCGTAATCCAATAATCTTTCTACTTTGTAATTTCAACATTTTTAAATAATCGACAATAATGAATAATTTATTTTGTATAAAATCAAATGAATATATTTTTCATCTTTTCTCTATCGGTTATGCATCGATCATTGCTTATGTTGAGATAATTACCATCCTTATTGGATATATCGATCATTAACTTAATAAATATTAATAAAACAATACTTTAATAACCTAATAATATAAAGATAATGAATTTATCTTTATAAAATCTTTGGAAAATGTAAAGTTTATTATTTATTGGAATTCATTAAAGCTTAAAATGGGCTACGCGCATTAGAACACTAATGTTAAAATAAAGCTATCATTATTACAATATGAACATCAAATAACGCATATTTAAAAAAAAAAACAAGTTGGCTATTTAATGTAATTTAAATTGAATCGAACATACGGAGTATACCGTAGAGCTCCCAATTTTAATTCGATTAATATCCGACAGATACGCACGCATAATATGGGTCACACATTTAAAGAAGGCCACATTTAACTACTCTAAAACAACTCATCTATTGTTTAATTGAGAAATTCGACAGTTTATATACAGAGATCAACCCGAAACATTCACCTAGTTATAAACAAATATTCAACTCGAGATTAGCAGATAATTTCACAAAAATCTAAAAATATCCCTAGATTTTTTTGTTACTCTTTTCATTCAAATATTATTAAATTAGAAAAATTAATTTTTATAATATTAAAATAACCATAAAGAATTAGAATTACTTAATTTTTAAGTAATTCTATTAAGTATACTTTTTAGCAAAATAACTTTGAAGTAGAACATTTGTATTGTTATTCTTTTATAAGTATCAATTTTATTTACATTTCAGAAATTAATATTCGTAGCTATTGAATTTAATTTAAATTAATAAAATAAAATTAATTTTTTTATGAAAAGAAATTATATACATAAAAAATGTATGAGTAATAAATTTGCATATTTTCATTATGTAATATCTCGAATCGAATATATTTCTTTTATTGTTTTAGCTGACTACAAGTAACGTACGTAAAAATACCTCATCAACGAGACAACTAACCATAGCATTCCGTTTTTGTCAGTTCGTACGTATAGCATTAGAAGTTGATATTTACAGCGCTCTTTTATTTTGTTTAAAAATTATTGAATTAGAAATAACAAATATAAATGTTAAGCAACACAGTTAAACACTTTACTATGAATCTATAGATCAATTTTGTCACGACTTTTATCTTTTTTATCTCATTCTTTCAATCGTATGCTTATTTTGGTAATCAATACCTATGCATTCATCTATGTGATCAATACAATGCGAACCATGTGTGCTTCATTATAAATGCATGTAATAAAGCGACATGATATCTTTAATAAAAGTTTTTAAGTAATGGTTAGCACCAAGAAATTCGATTACTATGATATTTTTATTAAATTATATAATTGTATTCTCTCTATTTACCTCCGTCCCTCTTTGATGGTTCTCACTCTCTCTCTCTCTCTCTTTATTTTGTTAATAACTTTAGTCACCAAAATCAGACAATGTAAAAAAGACTTACAGAAAGTATGATTAAATAAAGTTGGTATTCTTTTTAAGTACGGTCAGTAGTTTCCTCGTTAACTACCAATACAGCTCCAACAACTCCTATAGAAGCCGAATCAATTATCTCCTTAAAAACATCGATTTCTTTAGATTGCACATTTACTATAATATCTTGATTGGTTTCTACAATTTTGTTCTCAACTTCACTATCATAGAGAAGCGTCGCCTGCATAGCATTGAACATTGCAGTCCTTGCAAAGCGTGAAGCTTCCGTTAATTTATAAATGCTCTCGGCCAGTGCTTGTATGTCTGGAAAAGCTAAAGAGAAACAAAACCAATCTGTATGAGAATTAATTTAATAAAGGCTTTAATAAACTTTTTATATTTTAATAATTATAAATTTTTAATACGTTTAAAATAGTTTAAAAATATAAAAATTAAATTTTTTTTTATTGTATTACAATGTTTCTTTATCATTTGAAAAAATTCAATTATCTGTATTAAATATTTTATTAGATTTTTCAGTATTGTGAGTTTAATTAGACAAAATCATTTATTTACTTTTCTTATTGATAAATTAATTATAACAATTTATGATAGATTAAGACATTAATACAAAAAATATAAATTACTATTATAAACATTTATTATACCGATTACTTCCTTACTACATAAGATTTCTGTTAAAATTTCTTTTAAAAGATGAATGAGCATATATTAATCATTATGAAATGTAAACAGGAAAGCGGAAAGTATGTATGATATACATCTACCCTTATATTTATATACAATAAATCTAAAATAAAAATGTATAAATGTAATTTAGCCATTAATTATTAGAGTTTTATAGTTCAAATACATTCATTTTAACGTTAATAATCAAATACAATAATTTATGATAAAATATTAGTAAGCGATATTTATTATAAATGTAATTGAAAAATATAGTATCATTATATATAATATTCTAATTTTCATATTTCTATATTAATGTTGAAAGATATAAATAAGATATTGCGAAATAAACTGCATTAGTAGTTATTTTATTTATTGAAATCAAATAAAACAGAGATCATAATTCAATCATCAAAAACTAGATTTTTCTAACACATAATGACCGCTTTTGTGGTTAAATTAAACGTTAATATATTATTTCATATAAAAATCTAAACATTTTTTTTGAGCTTTTTATTTATTTTAAAACCAATTAAAATTATAATTTAATCATTTCTATTTACTTTTTTTCTAATAAAGATAATTATTAAAAAATCAATGAAATACTACTAGATATATATATTAACAGATTATATTTTTATAAATATTAAACGAGATTCAATAGTATAATCACTAAAATAATGTAAAGAATTTTTATATTTTATGAAACTATTAAAATTTTTAAATGTGTTATAAATTGGTTTGGATTAATTTATGTATTAAATACCTTTTTTATGGTTCTGAATTACATTTTGATTTATGTAGATACATTATATATTATTATTTGACATATATATTACATATATTGAACTATTGTAATATTAGAAATTAATATTTATTGAGGATACTTATAAAATGAAATATTTATTCTACATATTTTTATATAATTTATCGTTATTAATATTATTTATTATATATAAATATATTACATAAAAAATATTGCAAAAGTTTAACTACTTTCAAATATTGTAATTAGTAATACTTAAAAATACTTTTGTGCATAAATAAAATTAAAAGATCTTATTTATATTAATTATTATTCTTATTTTTATTATTTAAAAATTAAGTAATTGATTTTTCTAAATAAGTTATTTCTTCTTTGTCATTATATACATATATATATATATTTTTTTTGTTACGGATTGGAGCAACGTCGAAGAATTTTAAAAATGGGAAAAGTACAAGCTCTCGGACGCTTATGTTTGTAAACATTGGTTCCGTGAGTTCTAAGAGTGGTCTGCTCCTTATTGCCTAGTGTTCGACAATATTTCAGCATAGCAACGACGATTGACACTTTTCGAACCTTCCAAGGCAGTGTCCTAGACTTCTAGAAAATTCTGTAGCTTCGTACTGACGTCATCAAGACTTTCGGTCTAGCAACAAGCTCGAGCACTGCTGCCATGATAACATTTAAGAGCAGCTCGCCAAGCACAGGTGCTCACTGTTCTGTTAACATCTACTCAATCGTTACACACCGGCTTACTGTATTCCTTTTCGAACATTCAAACTACAGTTATCACTCACTATAGCTATACCAAGTACTTAGTCATCAATTAATAATCAGTCTGATTTAAAACAATCTACATTTATTATCAATTAATAATCTAATAAACCAACAGTGACGCCACGGACAATCATAATCCGTTAAGTGTTAAATTCAAGGAGCACAAGTGCCAAGCGTAATTTAAGAGTGAAATTAACTAAAGTATAACACCAACATTTATTAACGTATCTTAAACATACATATAAATTCAGCGATGGCTTCACGTCCATCTAAAACAGCTACGGCTTACAACAACTACGGCTCTTACGTACATCAACCAAAAAATATAAAACAATTCTTAAGCGTTCACGACAGCCACAGATGATAATATTCATCTCTTATACAAGTAATTATCAGAACGCCACTTAAACATGACACTCCGCAAGGACGCAGAGATTCACACCTCATGCTGCTGCGAGTATTAAATTTCATCAGCACGTAAAATCGCTGAAGAAACTTCACTGACTTAAAATCACTTATAATCAACATTCATATAATTATATAGCCATTAATTATAATCATATCATTGTATTTAATAAAAGGAACCCAAGATACACTGTGTGTTGAATTAAATAATTGCATCTGCCTCCTCCACTTGCCAGCAAACACCCCCACCTAACATCATCGAGAGGTTTTTAAGTCTGATCTGTCTGACCCCACACATATATATATATATATATATATATATATATATATATATATATATATATATATGTTAGTTTATATGTATATATATGTATTATGTTAGTTTCTACTTTTTATCCAACCTGTAAAAAAACGTTTACTTACCATTATCATCATGAATTGAAATACCATGTAAGTTTTCTTTTTGACGTTTATTCGTATTGGTAATTTCTTGTTTACGTCGCTCCTGAACAAATTTTATAGCATCTCGCCAATGGTCCACAGCATTGTGTATTCTTTGATTCATTTCAGCAGCTCGAAGACGTTCCATCTTAAAATTAAAGACGAAAGAATGGAAAATGTAGTTTATTAAATATTAAGTTGAAAAATAATAATATATAAATTGAAAGAAAAAACAAATATAGTTTTATATTGTTGTGTGTATTGATGTAATTAATGTTATAAAAATAAAATTTCTCAACAAAAGGTTTTTATAATTGTTAAAAATAGACAGTGTTTGTCCTCAAATACGTTTTAATGATTATATTACTAAAAATAAAATAAAATTAAAATTTACTTATTTCTATCAAGCTGGTATTTTAGTTTATTTCTTTATTTTTTTAAATCAAAATTTAAAAATCTAATCATAGAAAATACTAATTATTAGAAAATTATAATTATATTATCTGAGCTAAAATTTAGTCTACTTATAATTAAATTATAAAAAAAATATGTGCTGACTATCTAATTTAATTATTCGTGAAATGTATTAATATTGAATAGCTTATTTTTGCAGATAATTATATAAATGCATATCATAAAATAATACTCATTAGATAATAAGTTATTTAAATAATTTCAATCATAAATAATAAAATCTGTATTTAGAATATTAAAAAAAATGAAAATTGTTTTATACTGAATTACATATTTTATTAAATATATATTATATAAAATGTAATATCAATCAATATTATACTGTTATTTTCATACTAATTACTTCATTTTAGATCTTTGAATGACTTCACAGTCGCCCATTCTCATAAATTTAAGATAAAATACTTTATTTTCCTACGATGTATTAATATTCACTAATCTAATATTATATCTAATCGTGTAAATTCAGAAACATCAGCCATGATTCATTGAATTTTAAATTCGTTTGCAAACCTAAAAAGGTATATATTATATTTAATTGCAATATTAGTAGATTTCGCTGGTCTTATATTCGATCACACGTATTCATAGGTAATATTCAATAATATTGTGCCCTGCAGCTTGATCATCGTAATAATTCTCAAACGAATTCTATGAGATACTTCAACTGTTTAAAATAATTAAAATATCATTCATGCTATTTACAAGTAATTCTATTTTATTAATATTCGTAATTTAAAAATTGGGTTATTCCGCAAACTTTATATACTAAAAATAATACTTTTTATTTCATATGGTTGTGTTTATTTTATGTTATATTATAGTTTTTTCTTTACAATTTTTCTTAACACGTGTTAAAATTTTGTTGATTAAAATAAATGTCGCGGAGTAGTCAGTAAATAATTAACCAATTTTTTATTTACGATTTCTCAAGTGCAAATCTTATAATGTTAAAAATTCTTTTTTTAACATTATATTTATTTCTTCTAATGATTATTAATTAATTGATTAACTTCATTGTGGGTTAGTATCTTGAATGTGACTAATTAAACATACGACCTTTTGATTAAGTCAAAAACTTTATTTAATTATTATTCAATCGATACCTCTAGCAATTTCTTGTTTTTAAGTAGACTACATATATATTAACATTAAAAATACTAACTATTTTTCTGATTTATTTTATATTCATATTGGATAAGGATCGATAATTCTATGATGAATTTTAATTAAATTGCTATAACTTTAAGGATTAACAATTTCAGTTCCAATTTCGTTCTAATTTTAATGTCTTAACTAAATTTTCGAATCTAATGGATGCAATCGGTTTTTTTTATTAAAATTTTCTTCATGTATTTAATGATCGCTTTTTTCGAAAGACATTCATTATTATTGTTAATATACAGAAGCTGTACTTACAAAATATATTCTATAAAAATATTCCCTGTGATGAAAAGCGATCGTATTAACTGTAATTTAAATTTTTCGTTTCAATACATTAAAAAAATTGGTTAAAAAACTTAGTACATTTTTTTTTAATCTATAAAAAAATAAATGCCTATTTTTTATAATAAATTTCAATTTCTTTACCTTTTTCTAATCTAATGCTCGAATTTTCTATTCATTATTTGATCAAAATACGTAGTTATTTCTATATACTGTAATTACTTATAATATTAATTATAATTATATTTTAATTCAAAGTAAGTAAATGTATGTAATTATATAATTACAACACAATTTGGCTGTTTGTGTAAAATATACAATTAATGTATAAGCATAAAATATGTGATCAAATATATTGATAATTCAGTAAATATATAAAACATTACAAAAAAAATTTTAAAACAAAATTGCTCAGTTAAATTATTTGAAAATATGATGTAGTTTAAAACATTCAAATAAATATTATGTAAATAATGGTTGACTTTGATGATAAATAATAAAAAAATTAATATCAACATAAATTAAAATATTTTATTAATGATAAATTCATCTGTTTTAAAAGTAAATTTCAAAAAACATTGAATTTTTTTATATGATGAAAGTGCGTTTAATAATATTTTAGGATTGGCTATTGTTTTAAATAAAATGTTAATTTTCCGTACAATTTATAAATTCTGTTTCACTCACTTTTGTTATAAGTGTAATAACACGAGCGTGTTCTCGGAAGTGATCGATAATGAGTTTATCGACTCTTGATGGACTACCTTGAAGTCTAGGAATTGATATGTTGTTAGCACTTGTTACTTTTTTTCCAGGAAAATGCGCAGCGAGGCCAGCCTCACACTTCTTACGCTCTTTCTCCAATTGTTTGAATTGCTCATAAGTTTGTTCTAATCTTGAATATAATATCCTGGATGGGCCTGATCTTCTTGTTGAATTGCTATTTCTGTATCCTAAACCACTCTCGAATATAGATATAGACGATGGTACAGTTACTGGTAAAGGCATCACTGCATGATTCGAAAATACATTTGTGTTCGTGCTTTGTATTAAACCAGCATTAAAAAATATGTCAGTGTTTGAAGATATTGTAGGCACATTTTTTATATGCTGCTGTTGTTGGCGTTGTTTTAATAGATGATTGAAAAACTCATTATCAATGCTATTATTATTATTAGTAACAAGATGTTGCTGTGACATAAAATTACTAGATGAAAAATTCATGCTGTTTGATAAATCGTATCCAGTTGTCATTTTATAAGTATTTAAAATATTACTGGACCTTTTATGATTAATCTGCAAGAAATAAACAATAATTATGATATGTTATATTAAAATAATAAGCTTTTTTTATATGAAGTTTATGTTTAATAACCATATTTAGAAAACTAAATCATTAATTTGTAATTTTTTAAAATGACAATACATTTTATATTATTGTACGTATTATTATACATAATGCATTCTTGAAAATATTTGCAAGATAATAAAGTTACTTTAACGAAATGCTTTATTATGCCATAAAATTATTATTTAAAATAATTTCTTTAATTAAATGAAAATAATTTGTATAATTTTTATGTTAATTTATACTTGTTCTGTAAAATATTTGTGTTAATTGTTATGTCTTTAAAACATTAAAATTAATATTTTATTTTATTTAATAATTTTTATATTTAAAATAATGCTACAATTCTATATGAACCAAAAATAAATAGTTGAAATGTTATAAAAAAGAATTTATATTCTAAAACAATCTTTAATTAAAAATTATAATAACAATATTTACTAACTTGAGAGTTATGTTGTTGCATGAATTTCAAGGCATCAGCATCGTTAATCATCAAGTGCTGACAGTCATTAGCTGTCTGACAATTGAATTTGAGCTGTTGCAATTGCTTATATTCTTGAGTTGCAACAGCAGCTGTAGCTAAATTATGAGAATAACCAACAGGTGAAAATACCTGCTGTTCATGCAATTTGCTATTAACATCATTATTACCCTTAGAACTGAGCATCTTTATAAGAGTATTCAGTCTTTGGTCGTGTGATATTGCACTGTTTCTGTGACTATCATTATTTAAAACAAATTGCTGTGATTCAGTGAGATTTAAAGGATTAACAACACCCTTGTCCAAATGTTCAGTCGCCAATGACACTGTATCATCTAATTTACAGGTACGAGAATTTTGTTGTTTTAGATACAACTGCTCACTAGATATAGCAATGTTGTTAACAATTAAATTGGACATCTCATGATAATTTTTGTACTAAACAAACAATTTATCATATAGTTAATTCAATCATTTTGTTATAATTTGGTTAAATAATAATGATTTGTTTAAATGAACATAAGAACAAAATATCATTTTCAATACTTCAACAAGCCTTCAAAGGATACTACAAAATTTGCTATTCTAATTGTTAGAAACTGATCGAGTATATTTTAAATTTTAATTCTTCAGTTTTTTTTATAGTTAAGAAATAAATTTAATTTAAAAAATAAATTAATAAACTCTAAATTAAATTTTTTTCTTTGTCATAAAAAATTGACTACTTATATAGCATAAAGATTTTTCAAAATAAATACTTAATGAAATAAAAATTAGAAAGTAAATTAATTATAAATTTTAATAATTCTATTAAAAAATTAAATTTTTAAATTCAATAAAATCTTATTTTATAAATGTTTTATAAATAATTATAAAAATTGAGTGTAAAATCAGCTTACCTCTTCACATGTGCTTTGTTGAAGGTTATTGGAATAGTAATTGATAGGAGAAAAATGCTGCGATGATGCGTTTGATACAAAACCAGAATCAGCAGTTAAATCAGTTACAATTGAGCTAGAAGAGTATCCTAGACTATTAGCAGGCACGTTACAGGAATCATGAATGTTCAATATATCATTATGAGAATTTTGAGGTATTTTGCAACAAAGTTGCATTTCATTAAAAGTGTTATCTTCTGAATTAAGTGATAAATTCAGTGCAACATTTAAATCATAATCAATATTGTTACAAGACTGTAATTGTGAATAGTGTCCAAACAAACCCTTAACACATTCGTCATTAAACAAGGTATCAGACCAATTGGCAGAATGGGGATTATAATTTAAGTTACTGGTTGTTGTAATTAAACCGTTATTAGATAAAGGAGTATATGAGTTCTGCATGGAACTAAAGGATTCATTATTTATAACCTGAGCATGATATTGTTGTCCTGATTTTTGAACACTATTATCAGATATATGTATGGTTCTGCGACACAAAAATATTATTGCTTATTAAATATACTAATCTATTTGATTTTGTTATTAATAAAAAATTATAAAAAGTATCAAAAATATATTAATATGCCAAAATAATTAAATATTTTTTTATATTAAAACTGTATTCTATATTTTCTTATAAAATTTATATGTAAAAAATTTATAAATTATAAAAATGATAATATGAAATTGTATTAAATTTTTAAAACTAGCTTATTGATTAAAAACATAAAATTATTTAGTATTTATCGAATACATACCTCTCTACATTATTGATGTGTCCATTAGTATATAAAGTAGTCTTATCATAGTTTTGTTCTTCCAAACAAAGGTTAAAATTCAGTGAATTTAATCCAGTAGAGATATTTTTATATTCTTGGTCATTTCCATTTATATTTAATGCATTATTTTCTACTTGTACTTCGGGATAAGTCATATGAACATCATTAGTATTTGTGAGATATGCATTTTTACCTAATCTAGTCTTACAATCTAATGAAATTGGAGCCCCAACTTCATGCTGTTGCACAGTATCATTATAATGATTGGTAAATATATCATTACCAGTAATACAGTCATCATCTAAAATTTTAGCAACAAGATCATCTACCATAGAATTCCTTAAATCCTGTTCATCATCATCTAGTATCGTCTTTAACCATATAAATCAATTAGTCTTTTCAATTTCTTTGAAATAATATATGATAAAATAAAATACTAACAGATTTTCAATATATCATATTTTAGCTATATATACATAAAAAATGACATTATAGATTAGTTTATATTTCAAAAATTTTTAATTATGAAAGAAATTTCTTTTGATATATTTTATTTTCAAGGTAATCTTTTTATATAGTAATTTGAATATTTATAATTAATTTTAATAAAAGTTTGATGTAGTATACGAATCAAATTAGATAAACAATCATGTTATATTTATATTACTTCATCCAACTAAATGATTCTTATTTATAAATTTAAAGGGCAATAAAATTAAAATAAATTTATAATTATTAAAGGTATCCTTAACATTATTAATGTACAGTTAAATATCAAACGAATATATGTAATTATTGTATAATTACTAATAGTAATTTATAACTGTCACGTACTTTGATGCAATATTAAAATTATTATTAATATAAACAATAATCAGTAATATAACTTTCATTTTATTTAAATAAAATTTAATAATACGGAATCTTTATTCTAGCATTTCTTTGTATATTTTATAAATACTGTAATTAATGCCACTAAATTATTGTAAATCAGCACCTTATCAATATGATAAAATACAGGATGTTTTAAAAGAATTAATTAATTATAATAAATATTAAAATAGTTGTATAAACAAATTTAATAATAGAAACTAATATATTCTATATATAAAATATAAGAAAATATATAAGCCCTTATTATATCACGTAGATTTTTAAATGTGAAGTTTAATCATAATTAATTTTACTAACTAAATATAAATTTTTACAACTTTATCTAAAATTAATATTATACTATGAGAAATAAAATTTTAAAAGTAAGCAATAAAAAAAGATTAATAATAAGAGAATCATTAAACAATTTAATCATAACAAATAATAATAATGATATAATGACAGAGTACTTTAATAACAATCAATAACAATAGTTTAAGTTGCACTTGTTTCAGCATTAAATTCATTTTAATGATAATTAATACATTAATACATTTTAATGATTGAGTCAGTATAATTTAAATATATATAATTTATATTATAATAATTTAAAATTGTGTCAGTATAAACCTAAAAACATAGTAATGTTTTAAAAATCTAATGAAAGTAACTAAAAAAAATGAAAGATGAAAAATTTTACTCATTATAAGTATCTTTATTAAATAAATAAAAACATTTATAAATTAGATATTTCATATTTATTTTATTAAAATAAGCATGTCTTATTTAATATGTATTATACACTAATAGTTATATATTTTTATTGCTCAATTCATTATATATTATATTATCATAATTATAAATTGCTCATTACGTCATAATTTTTTTTACTGCACCCAAAAATTATAATATTATTGCTTCTTTTATTATGATTTTCTATTGTGAAACCAATAACAGATAGTAACATAAAATATTTAATAATAATATTTAATATAAAACATAAATAATAAAATATTCAAATATTATAATAAAACTGTTATATCTCACACAAAATATTAATAAAATTGTAGACAATCGAACCATTGTATTAATGATTTTAAAATAAAATTTATATTTTAAAATTAAATTTATTTCCTGATTTATATTCAATACATTTTAAAAATATTCACCTTATTTACAGAATCTCCACCAAGTAAATCGTAATTCCATGGTCTATACTCATTGCAATGATTGTCTTTCACTGCTTCGAACATACTGATGCTTTTGCTGAACTACAAATGGTATCAAAATATATATAAGACAGTTTAAAAAATACTTCAAAAATGAAAATAAATTGGCATTAATAAACCTGTAATTAATAAATTAAGTTTTTAATTTTATTAATTTAGTAGGTAATACAGAAACAGTTCACATATAGTACATAATATCCTTTTTTTAAAAGTTTTTGTAAATTACAAAAAAACAATTAAATAATAATTAATAACTTAAATCAGTTAAATAATTAAAAGAAATTGAATTAACGGTTTTTAATAATGTATATCTATTAGCTTATAAATGAAGCATATAGTTAACATAATATAAAGAAGCAAGTGTGATAATACTTGCTTAATAAGACAAAAAGATGGGAAAATAAATGAGAGGAACGTGATAAGTAAAATAACAGGCTGTAAGAGAAAACTTCATTTTGACAACGTTCACGTACGTTTATGACAGATACAGTCATATGTAAATTCATTATGAAATTTCTATGGTTACATTAAATGCATATAGTACCGCTCTAGATAAACTGTATAACCACCTGCACACTGTATTATATATTGATAGCTATGCTGTATCAACAGTAATATTTGATGTTCAGTAGCATAGGTTCATTTGAGAAAAAACGTAGATTAGCACGCGCATTAAATGATAAACTGTGTATGGTTAGAAGGACGACAGATCATTCTTTTAAATTAACGCTAAAATTATTGAAAAATAAAAAGCTTAATAATAAAAAAGCATAAAAATGAACATTCCGGAGGGCAAAGCAAAAACAAACGGGGTATACATGAAAAAAGAGCAAAGTAAAATCACAAGTTTTATTTAGCGATTTCGTTTTTTATCATTGATATCTGTCTTTACCTTATCACTAGCGCAAGCATTAATGTTGACGATCAAGTTATAATTACATGCCTCGAGTTGAGTCATCGGTCAGATGATATCATGTCTGACGCTCCTGGTGATACTGCCTGCCATTACCATTCTTATTCTCTTTTTCTCTCTTTCTCGCACCTTGTCGCAGCTGTCATAGATTTCATGATTCGTTTCCACTGCATTAAATACGAGATTTCTATTTGTGTCTTACCCACATATTTTTCCCATGTTACCATATATCATTATCAAATCGCCCTCAATTGTTTTTTAATTTTTGTTTTCAATTACTTTTGGTATGGATTAGTTAGTTTTATTATGTAATATATATAATTGCCATAGACAAATGAATGTACTGTTAAATCTTTATTTGTTTTTATGCTAGAATTTCATATGAAATAAAAATTTTTTTTAATCATATTTAATTTCAATATTGAATAGTTTAGATATTTTATGAGAAAAGTTTGCTATTGGTTATAAATCATAACATAAATTTATGTACACAACTGAATTAACTTAATTTATAAACTATAAGTTTCAATTTTACTTTGAAATGGATTATACTCCTTGTATTTATTAGTAATTTTGTGCAACTATATTTTTGTACGTGCACATTTATATAGTTACACATAAATATTACTTTTTTTCAATACTATTTGGTTTTTAGTAATGACTAATTTCTTTTTATAGCTTGTATGAAAAAATGCTAAAAACTAAAATTTTTATGAAGAACATAGTTTTATGGTAAATTTATATTCTAAATTAATTTAATTTTTCTATATGCAATATATATAATATACTATCAAACTGGCTATTTATATATATATCCAGTATTTTTATCTAATTAAAATTAAGTGATTGATTATTATAATATAATCAATTTAAAACTGCCATTAATTTTTTTACTTAAAATTTAATATTTTTTTTCGTAAATATAAAAATGCCTCGATTGTGATTTACTTTAAAAAATATTTCATGAATTTAAATAAATATCAAAAAGGTAATTGTATTTTATGAACTTTTAAACTAATCCAAACATAACTGATGTATTTTATTTAAAATCTAATGAAATCTGATTCTGCAAGAATTACATGCCAATAAATACAAGAAACTATTGAACATAGACCAATTTTAGAATTTTGAACGGGATATAATATACAGTACAATTAACATTCAAATACCTTCAAATTAACGAATATACAATTTTATCATTGAAATAAATGCTAATGAAATAAATAAATTTTTTAAATACTATTACTCATTATCACACTCGTTCAAGTACCTATAATCAAACATAAATATCGAATATTCATAACAAGAAAAATAATTATCTGTTATATTTAAAAATTATTTTAATTACTTGATTTTTTATATTTATCTATATATAAAAACCTAAATACAATTGTCAAATTTTCATCTATTCATCGGTAACAAAATGTTAGCAAGATGAATATTAAAAATTTCAATAATTTTAATTTGTCTTCGTTATTACAAATATTTATTTTTAAACTTTTTAAAATAATTATTTAAAAAATTGACTATTTAAAATGCTAATAACGAAATGATAGGTTTAAGTTGTTTTATATTTGTCAATGTAAACAATGATAATCGTTCCAAAATTTGGATAAAATAGTAAATAAAATATTTATTGTTTTTTGTAAAAAATTTTCAGTGAATCAACAAAAAAATTATAGTTCATAATCAATTATAAAAATAAAAATATTGATATAGGTAACTCATTTCTACTATTAAAAATTATACTCGAATAATTTAAATTACAAAAACAATAACAAAATGTAGAATATTTTTGCCTGATCCTATAATATTCATAAACTGACAAATATTATATTGCATTGTATCTGAAAAGTCGTCATTATGTTATATTTGATCATGCACTGTTTTATTTTATTTCTTATTAAGTATCATTTGTGTATAATATTTAATTTATTTTTGACAAAATATTGTTTTCTAACATTTAAGACTAGAAGAAATAAAGTAATATGTATTAAATTCTTACAGAAGTGAATATAAAAATTTGTATTTAAACTTTAATATAATAAAATTTAATATAACTATCAAACTAATATTAAATATTTTATATTTAATATAAAACTTAATAGAATATAAAATCACTAAAAATGATATGCAATAAAAATTACAAATAAAATAACATGATAAAATAAAATATAATGAAAAATTGTGTTATATTAATTAGTAATTATTTGTATCACAATTCATTTAAATTACAGGAAAAAAATTGCTTCTCCTAATTATTTAATGAAATTTTTACATAATTTTTTAAAATTTTACTTAAAATTTTACAATTTTATAATAATATAATATCGATAAAATCGAATAAAATATATTTATTTTATTAGTTGATTTTCATCTTGATATCAAATCACTACATTAATCGACATTAATAAAAATAATAAAATCTGTATTTAGTAAAATTTTGTATGTTTCAATTTTTTACATAACAAAATATATTATATATAAATTAAATATAATTTTTTACGTCAAATGAAATATTAATATGTTTCACTATAAATAATTAAAACTATAGCAATGTTGAATAATAAGAATATAAATTGTACTTATTTAGAGTTATAACTGATTATGAAATTTCTAAAAATTCATAGTAATAATATATAACAAAGACTAAGAAAGAATGCGAATTAATTTTATTATATAAACGCTCGCTTAATATGCAGTTAAATTTTTGAATGAATCATATTAAATATATTAAAGTAATTTCGAGTTAATTTTTTTAGAAAAATGTCGAAAGTGACGAACTGTCACGCAAAGTTCAATGTCAAGCTTCGATTCCCAGAATATTTCCAAGTGCCTTAGCTGGGGAGTAAAAAGTATATATCAATATGTGTCACAGTAAAAATTGTTCACATACTTCCAAGAAAAAAATAACGAAGTAGAAATGATGACTAACGAATTTCATGAATACATAATTTTGTTGTATATTTTGAAAAAATAGAAAATGAGGATTTAAATAATATCATTTTATTATCTAAAATGTTTTGTATAAAAATAAGAATCATACAGATCAATAATCTGTTAGTATTTCACTATTTCAATTTGGAATTAATGTTTTCAAATATTTATTTCTATCTTTTTAATATAAAAAATGTATTATTCTAAATAAGCAAAAGCAAACATTTAATTTTTTTTTCATTAATTTTTTAATTAATTTCACATTTAATAAATTTTTTTTTCATTTTTGAGACAGTAAAAATTCAGTGAAAACAAAATTTATAAATGATTAAAATTCAATTGTAAAATATTATTTAATAATATGTATTTAAATAAAAACTTAACTTATAAAATATAAAATTAAATATAAATTCAAAATTTATAAAATAAATTCTATAAAAGTTAATTCTATATATTATAATAGTATGTATTAATTATTATATTATTATTAATTATTACTTAATAAATTAATTTATGAAATAAATACAATTTTTAAATTTAAAATTGGTTTTGCGATGCTGTACTGGCGCTTCTTTCTTTGCGCGATATTCAATTTTCATTTGTACAAAATAATTAAAAATAATGAAAAAAAAGACATGCAAAAAATAAAATAATAAAACTAATATATTTACTCACATGAAATTGGTTTTGCTTGATCTTTTAAAGTCTCACATTAAGCTGTACCTGCAAGACAACCATTCGCACAAATAATCTCAATATTACGATAAAAACAATGAAAATTAATTTAAAATTATCAACAACTGGTAATCAAAAAATAATCTTTGTTTCTTGTAACTGTTCAAATAATTAAAGAGTGTTTTTTGACACGTTTAATAATATACTCCGTTGTTTTCAGCAACGAAAAAAAGAATGAGCTGTGAATTGTGGTTTGTCAATTTATATTCTGTAAATTTCAAAGAAAAAAAATTATAGTAGGGGAAAGATCAAAAACAGGCGGTAACCGATAGTAAATAGACTTACAAGTTGCAGTTGCTTTTTGTGTTGGAAAATCATCCAAATCAGATAGCGATACCAGCGCCATTCATAATTTTAGATTTTTTTAGTTATTTTGATATATAAATCAGTATTTACATAGGTCTTGTACTGCATAATAAAAGGATTAAAAGTTTGTACAATTTTTTGAATTTTATATAATATTTTTGTGCAAATTAATTATTGCATGCGCCGATCGTTTCAAGTTTGTCTTTATTGAAGTAAAAAATTTAAACTAATATTGAACCAGTTACTTTAATTAAAATTTTTTAATTTTATCCCAATTTTTATTTTTCAATTTTTACGTATCTCTTAATTTCTTACAACAAAAATTTTAAATGAGCACATCCATGACAACAAATTAGCATAAAACTCTTACTGCGCAGAATCCAACAAAAATGACCTATCATGGCTATTCCTAGAGACCTATAGCGACTATCGCTGTATTCCATACATCTTAATTCTCAATATTGATACGAAAAAAACTTCAATTTCTTTGAATGCTATCTAACAATCACATGTAGATATAATTTATTGTTGTATTTCAATGCTGTGTAGTATAAGTTTATTTATGATTTATGCAACAACTACATGGTAGTTTTTATAATATCTAAATATTCTTTATTTAAAATACACCCATTGGTATATCAATATATTCATTTAAGTTATTGTCATGTGTGCTCAAAATTTAAGTATAGATTTACTTAGTACTATAGATTTAAAAATATCTTTTCCACATGGTAAGATGCTGAATCCACTGTTAAAATCTAAAAAATTTAATAATCCTGAAAGTAAGTCTGAATGGTTAGATTCTATTTTAAGTATTCATGTCAACCAAAATGTTAATAGTATTGATAAAGCTACTTCTCAACTTCTACAATGCAAACCATTTAATGAATTTAAAGTTAGACATAAACATACAAATTATTTTCATTTATTTTATCAGAAAAAAATTTATTCAAAAGATTATTTTAAGAAAAATAGAAAAATCAGAGGACAAATAATACATCATTATACAGAAGATAAAAAATGTGACAATCAAATACATATTGCTCAAATACGAGAAGTCTTTCAAAAAATTTTATATAAAGTTGTATCTCAAGAACTAATTGGCAATTACAGAAATAAAAAAAAAATACTTAAAACTCTTCACAATTTTTTATTAACTGCAAGAAATGAGTATTTTAGTCTACAAAGTTTAATAAAACAGATAAATGTATATAATTTATAAATATATATATAAACAATTAAAACTAAATATATAAATTAATTTTTTTTGCTAATTTCAAATTAATAATAGATTTCTTCAATTAAATGGTTAAAAGTTATTGATGATGATTATACAAAATATATTTTACTAATAAAATTTATCAAATGGTTATTTCATTATTTTATAAGGATAATATTTGATCAATTTTATGTAACATATATAAAAGAAGAACGAATATTTATTTTTCTTAAAGATTGGAATATACAAAAGAAAAATTTTCTAAAAAAAATGTATCAAAAAATGGCTCTAGAACCACTTAAGATAGTAACTACTATAACAAATATTCAAAGCAAGTTATTTTTAATACCAAAATTTAAAGGTATACGATCTATTGTAATACAAAAGTATGTATTCAAATTTATATACTTTGCAATTTATATAAATACAAGCTAATTATTGATTATTTAATAAATTTTAAGGTACTCAAATAACGAAAAACAAGAGTTAAGAAAAGTTATAAGTATTTTGAAACATCTACATCAAACTAATTTAAGCAAAACGAATAGTAACTTCGATAGAAAATACATACAATTTGTTAGAGAGAATAATTTTCTGAATAACAAAATATATATAATATCATCTGATATACATAATGCTTACGATTCCATACGACAAGGTTTCAATTTATAAAAATTGTAAATTGTTTGTAATTTATTAAACTGAATAATTTTTTAAATTAAATTATTCTATTTAATATTTACTAGAAATTGTTTATATAATGACTTTAAATACAGTATAATATTAATATTTTTATAAAATTATTCTATATGTACAATAGAATTATTAAAATGATAATTGTTCCTTTTTAGATAAATTATTTAATATACTAAAGGAAATGTTTAAAGAGTTACCGTACGAGCTAATATTTGAATGGTACATTACACGAAATTCCAAAAAGTATAAATATGTTAAAATTAATGCAAACTTATCAAAAGTTCAGTTTGAGACTTGTAATAAATTTGAAGTAACAAAAAAACATAATATTCTTAAAAAATTAGAACAATTTATTTACAATACTAAAGTAATATATTTTATTAAAATAATAAATTCTATAAATATCTATATGAAAAAATAACGTTCATTTAAATTTTAAAATATTAGGTTGTTATTAATAATAAAGTTTTTAATTTATGTAAAGGAATAGCACAAGGATTAATGTTATCAGCAATTTTATGTGATATTTATTATGCACATATGCGAAAGAAGTATTTTTCTGATTTTGAAAATTTTGGTTACCATTTTGCTTATGTAGATGATAACATTTATTTGACCAAGAGCTTAAAACATGCTAAAGAGTAAATTTAATTATAGATTTATTCTCTTTTCCTATTAACTTTTCAAAACTTTATATGTAAGTCAATGATTATGAAATATAGCCAATTATATTACATTTTATTTTAGATATATATATAGAATTAAAAAGGGTATTCCAGAATATAATTGCTGGTTTAATGAATCAAAATTAAAATATAATTTTAATAAATGTGATTCTAGTAAAATTGAATATTTAGGTTGGATGATTGATCCTCATTCTTTAGAAATTGAGCCAAAATACAACTCATCTCGTTATTCCCTGACTTTTGCCTCACTTAATTCATTGTAAGTCAATAAAATACTTTTATTTCTATAAAATTTATTTAATAATTTAATATATTGCAAGCAGAAATTTGAGTAGTACATGTGATTTAAAAATACAAAATCTAGCTTCATTAAAACTAAACAAGCTTGTTCTTTCTAAGGAAATAAATAGTGAAAATCGAATATTTAGTAATATACAGTCTATTGCACTACATCATGCTAAGCGTTGTTATGCTTTTGCAAATTATTTATATGAAAATCAGTACAAATTAACGATAGAAATCATTAAAAAATTAAATTTTAAAATATTACATACAATTGAAAATCTTACCAAATGGGGTTTGTATAATAGTATTTTGAATACCTTTCGTAAAAAAGAATTTATTATGTACTAAATTAAATATCTTTAATTTTAGATAAATACGAAGACAGTCAAAAAAAAAAAAAAATACGATTAATCTTATGGCAATCATTTTATAATGTTTTTAATAAAAAAAGAGAAATTTTTTTATATTTAATTAGAGATTTTAAAAGATTGATGAAAAAATATACATAATTTTAATCACAAAAATAAATTATAAAATTTTTTATTATAATTTAAAAATCTATTCTTCAGAATAAACTACAATTTTACTTTAAAAAAAATCTAAATCTAATTTAATTTTAAGAAGCAGTAATATTATATAAATATCTGTAATACATTAAAACTATTCTTTTAAACTACATTATTTTATTAATAGTTTTATTGTATTAATTTCTTTTTTTAATTGTTTTTTATTATTCATTCTAAATTTTAAATTAAAGTAAAAGCTATTACAATTTAAGATGTAATAACTAAAAGTTACCGTTTTATAATTTTTATAGAAAATTATTCAGTATTCAAACAAAAATACTTTTGACTTTTTGTTTATTTAAAACATATTATTAACATCTGTTATTATACATATGTTATTAACATCTATTATCTTGTATTTTATTGGTTTATCACTTTTACTAAAAAAAATGTAAAATTTTCATTGTTAAATAACAATAAATAATGGAAAACTGATGTAATAACAATGTTTTTCTAATACACAGACAAAATTGCTTAGACAAATTAAAATATAATCATGAATATTCAAACAATAAAAACTGTTATCAAGTATCCAATACAAATTCGAAATATAAATAGAATTACAAATACAGTTACAGGCATAAAAACGTAAAGAAATTTATTGCATCTAATCTAATGTCTAACTCATTAAGCAACTCAATTGCAAATGAGAAATAAACGTAGGAAGATTATAATTTTAAATGAAATTTTTTTTTCCATTTTTACATACTTAATTATTACATTAATACATAAACGGTAGTTTTATTATAATTTTAGAATCAAAATATTTGATATGAATTACATTTGAACTTAAATTTTTTTTTATTTAATTCAAATGCAAAATTTTAAGTTAAAATAAATTCAAACCAAATGTTTTAATTCTTTAGATTAAAATAAAACAACTGTAAATGTACTTTTTATTTTTATTAATTAAATTAGTTAAATTTTATGGCATTAATAATATAGAAAATTGAATATAATTGGTTGTTCTATACAAAAATTTCTAATCAAATTGAAAAGAATAACTAGTTATGTTTTAATAAAAATATAATAAAAATTGCAAAATTTTACGTTCTATAACTAAATTGTTATTATACAATTCAACATATTCAAAAGTAAATAAAAAAAAAAATTCTATTGTACTACAATGAATAGGTAGATAAATATAATTGAAATTTTTCAATCTAAAAATTTATTGAAATAAATCCATACCAATCAATTACCTTACAAGATCATTATTTTTATATATTCAAAATTATGGAAAAAGCCGTTTTATGTAATAGTATATAAATTACAAAAAATATACAACTACGATTATATAATGAAATCGTTCATAAAATATAATTTAATTATTGAGTTCAAATAAATTCATAATAATAATCTATAAATATTTTTAATGATAGAATAGTATAGCTGCTTAAATAAGTTTTATGAAATTTTTAACAATTAAAAAGTTATGGACAAAGGAAAAAACTCATTACACGCTGTACACTATGTTCTATACAATTATTAAATGATAGAAATTAAAAATAAGTATTAATCTAATTCAGAACATAACTGATCTGAATTCAAATTCTGGTGTATACATTAGCATCAAGTTGTATCGACTTATATGCAAATATATTCAAGTGCAATATATAAACTGCACAATACTGTACATTTTATTTACTTTTTTTAAACGTCCATATTTAAAATTCTTAATGAATAATATAAAATTATAAATAAATTGATTGTTAATTTTGACCATATAAATTAAATATATAAAAAACACATTTAAGCATTTATAACAGCATATATATTATTAATGTGATTAAAATTGCCAGTTTTTTATAGTATGAAGATAATGAATATATTATTTAAGTTATACTTAATACTACTACATATAAAATACTGTAAACTACAAATAACTAATCAAAGTACACATTTTCCAAAATTAATAAAATATTTTTTAAGATTTAAATAATTTTGTGTATAATAAAGATTATTTGTAATCATTTACTAATCAATTACTAAAATTGTCAAATGTTGGAATATTTTCTTGATACTTAATATACGTGATTCGTTTACTTTCCAAATTAAATTATTTAATAAAGAATCTAAAATACATACTGTACTATTTGATATGAAATCAGTTACTTGAGTTCTACATATATATTATATAAAAATCTATCTTCCCAAAAAAAAAAAACGATATCGCAATAAACAACTTATACAAATAACAATTTTCTGATTATGTACGCAAATCCGTTGTTCAATATGTTCAACTATTTTCAAATACAAGATGCGTTCAACGCATTTAATAAAATAAAGCGATGCAAACAAAACTTTAAAAAATGCATCATATTGCACTATGCACTTTTTGTTTATTTACTTCAATTTTTAAATACTTGTATTATTATACATATACTTTGATACAATGTATATGTACAATTATCACCATGTGTATTGGTCTACAAATCTATTTAACTTTTATTTTTATTAAATGAATATTTTCCATCTATTAAATTTTCAATGTTGATCAATGATCTATGAACAATTTTGATTATTTTACTAAAATTTAGCAGTATCGAAGAAAATAAATATCCGTTAATTCTGTTATCTTGACCAATGATACATTAATACACAAAAAACTACTTCAATGAAAATAATATAGAATTCTTCATTGTTCAATTATTCGCACTTTCAACTGATTTATATATATATATATATATATATATATATATATTATTGATATTTATGATTTAATGTTTTGCCACTGTTAAAAATTTCTACACATTGTTATTATTGTTGAATTGTTTTCTAATGGAGGTATTAAATCGATGAAACCTAATCTGACATAAAAGTCTCTAGTATCTTTATCAGATATTGACATTGTTGTATGTACTCCAAAAGAGCCTATAAATTAATTTTATAATTTATTAAAAAAACCTAATAAAAATAAAACTTAAAAAATCTTAAATAAGAAGAAGTAAATAAAATAAACATTTATGTGTGCTTATATACAGATTCTTAACAAAATCTATATGAATTTCTGTAACAAAATTTATCGTACCATTTGCTCTCAAAGCGGCTAAAGTACATGTAATTAAACGTTTTGAAACTGAGTGATCAAACACTATTGGTAATAATGAACATATAAGTTTAGATGGATGTTGCCGACATAATTGTTCTGGTACATCAGGTACAAATGTATGAAAATATTGTATTGCCTCCTAAAAATTTATAATAATTTAATAAATTTGTAAATTATTTTCTGTCAAACTTAATTTTTTAACTTAAATTGTAAACATACCTGTTCATCTTGAGACATATTGCTATTTAAACTTTTTAATGGATATTTTAACTGCATTTCAGTAATCCAAGATATCGCTAATTTTTGATTGTATGTTTTGATATTTAAGGCAGTAAGAGCATACCCAACAATACCAGTCTCGTCTTCCACAACCATGCAAAATTCTGGACTCAACATTAAAAATCCTCCTACAAGCCTAGCGTACATATAATTGTTAAAATACTTTTATAAATAATATAATTTTATTTTTATTTGTATAAATTACTCTCACTTATCGGACACAGCAGATGTTCTACAGTTATTAACTTGATTGCAAACTGTATAAATGGCTTCTTCATCATCTGGCAGATATGGGCGAATCGTGTAAATTTTACTGCTAGGCACTTCAGGTGCTTTATATATAAACAAATCATTCCCGCTATCAACAGGAATTAACCGCTGTAACAAGTAATATAATATAATTATTTAAACTACTTAATAACAATTATTATTAAAATTAATTGTATTTGTTATTATCATTTATCAACATAGTATGCTGATAATTAAATATACATTATTTATAATTATGATTTTTGAATGTACCTAAATCGACTTCAACATTATACCTTATTATTGTTCACTATTGGTCAAATCTTTAGTTTAATTTTTGTTATATTCAATAAATTTCTTATAAATTAATACTCTATCAACTAAATTAATACAATTTTTATTTATATTAAATTTATATATGTGAATAATATTTATTGAAAATGTCTTATTGCAGTCGATAATAATTGGCTTTTAGAGCACATATATCGATACTTAATCAAATTAAAAATTGGAATAAATATGATAACATTTTTTTATCATTATTTTTTATTTCTTAATTACTTTAATTAAGAATTACTTTATTTAATAAATACTTTAATTTATAAATGTGAAAATAATATATACCTGCAAATCAGCGGTCAGGCCACCTCTGAAAACCCACGGTTCTTGATCTCCACTCATAAAAGTTTCTTTCCAACCATTAGAAAACCCTATCCCAATAAAATTATATCAGTATCAAAAATAAATCAAATACGAAAAATTATATTATTTAATAAATTAATAAAATTGCAGCTACGTCCAACATTTTGGAATACCGAAAACATGCATAATCTTGGTATATAAAGTTACGTTTATTTTTCATTTATATTTCTATTGAAATAATTCAATACTGGAAAATGTAAACGTTTATATAACTACCAAGTTTTTTTTATCAAGGATGTGCTACTGATTTTCAAACATATTCTATATTTACAAACTGTATAGTTCAACATGACACCAATGAAAATTTTTCGAACAAAGTACTTTTTTATCAGCAGATAATTAACAAAAAATAAAAAACAAAATTTAAGTATATTAAAGGTAAAATAAGTTTAAGTTATTTTATAAGAAATAAAACAAACTACAGTAGAACATCCATGATCACATTCATAAATTCTTGAATAACTAGAATGCAAAAGGTTAGGATGATACAAGGATAATTTTTGCCATAATGCGCCTGAAATGAAACATTAAAAATCTCTGAAAAGAACTGATTCGTCTGAAACTAAGCAAAATAAATTAGTGAGAAATTTTTGTTTGGAAAACTAATCGTTCAAGGTTAATATATTATACCTAAGAACTTAATAGTATTTACCCACAAAATTTTGTCTCTTGCTATTAAAATATACCATGAACGATCGGGTTATTGGATTCGAAAGGAATATCAAGAATTTATGAAAATTTTTTCTTATACACTAATTTAAATTTCTTTTGTTATAATTTAATTCTTTAATTTTAAGTCCTTCAAAATTCACTATAATTTATTATTAGTTTTTTTTTTAAGAATTCCACAAATCAATTTAAAGATTTCTAAAATTATCTTAATCATTTAATTTATAATTTAAATAATTTAAAAAAAAATAAAATATGTTATAACTTATTTCATTTTAGCTAACACACTATTTTTTATTATCTCCAAGCTTTCAACTACTAATATAAACTGTATTATACATTCATTTAAAGGAATAACCCAGATTTTTCAATTTTCATAATATAAGATTTCTTGAAAAGTTTAAAGTTCAAAACTTGGATTTCGCGATTTTCTTCTTTACTCAAAGACTGATGAAACGCATACATGTGTAGCTGCCATGGGTAAATGTTGTCATCGTCACTGGAAATCTGCCAAATGCTATCAACAAGAAAAACATAAATTTGTGGTTAATACATTTTTTAAAAACAAAATATCCTGACGTTAATGTCATTATTTATAAATAGGAAAACATTCGTTGATTAGATTAACCAATCTGATACATTTCAAATAGCATAAAATTATCAAAACTCGAACATATTCCTACCAGGTCTCAGCTGAAAAGAAAGCCAATGAAATATTAGACTGGTAAATAAAAAGAAATGACTATACGAATATTGCATTTATTTTGACAAACATTCTCTGGCAATCAAATATCTGTTATGGCTGCAAGCTGCTTTTTATTTAGTTATGATCGTTTGAAAAAAATATAATCTTGAAAATGGTTGTATAATAAATCAATTGTGTTTATTTTTTTAAAATAAAAACAACTATATTAATATTCGATTTTGTTTAATTAAAATATAATAATAAAATAACATGATATATTCAACAAAAATTATAAAAATTCATTTGAATTTAGTAATTAAACACTGAGATTTACTATACAAGAAATAAAGTATAAATGCGTTTAATAAATCATGTATTATTAAATAAAATTTTTCAACATACATTTAATAATTTAAAACTATTTACACAGCTTTTGAAAAATATTCATTTAAAATATACTTTTAATTGGCATTCATTGACAATTAAATTCATTTCCTATAAATAAATATTTGTAATAAAGATTAAAATAAATAGCAGTAATTTTGTGCTATTTAAAGCTATTCACATTTTTCACATTTGCCATGCTTTAATACAGATTTTAAAATCAACTCTCGAAAACTCACAACTTTTATAAGTTAACGAAAGATTATGTTGTTTAAATATTTAAAATTATTATAAATTTCTATAGTTTTCAAAATAGAGTGTGCTTTTTTATTTAAATGTCCAAAATTTATTAAAACCATATTATATTTTTAATTATATTTAAACATGAAGTAAAATATTTTCAAGTTAAATTTATTTATTTAATTACGTAATTTGTTAAAATACCTAGTAGAAATATTTATGAATGATATAATTATGACTAATAAATTGACAATTAAAATGTAGTAAAATTAAAATTAAGAAGATTATCTTCTATAATAGTTTGATCTTTAAAATATTAAGTTTAATTTTTATTTATATTTAACCATTTATCAAATTTGATCTATAGAAATTAATATATTCTGAATGAATATAATTTAAAAAAAATTAATATTATAATGAATAATAAAATAATTTCAAATATTTAATAATTTAAGTCTACATTTTGTAATGAAAATCTTTTTGAGATTTTTATTTTTATATAATAAACTTTTTGAAGTAACGTAAGTTGAAAAATAATATAATTTTTTATAAACTTTTAGAAACACGAACATGACAAAAAATGCCAAAAAATTTAACTTATTTTCGTATAAATGCTTATTACAAACACATGTATCATCTTTTGTTCAAATTAAAAAAATTGTAATTTTCTAATATTAATTTATTACTATACTTAATATATAAATTTTATTTATTTCAGAAAAATGAAATCATTAGTTTTAATAATTATAGTAATATGCATTAAACTATTAATAAAGGAAAAACACAAAATACAAATTTACTTATTACCTAAATGAAGACATACTAAATTTTACCAGCATAATAAAGAATCAATTGACTTCCTTTATAGTATTATTAAATTATAACAATACTATTATTAATAACAAGTTATATATCATTAAAAGCCATTATTGTAAATGTTACTAAAAAGATATTTTAAAATATTTAATTTATGTTTCAAAAATGATATAATAATATCCTAACTTTTAATTATTATCTAGATAAAAATATGATACTAAATTTCAATACCCTAATAAAAATTTAATTGATTTACTATAGTGTTATAAAATTAGAGGAAAATTTTTAAAATATATATTAATATTTATATATATATATATATATATATATATATATATATATCATTTTTAAATAAAAATAAAATTATGATTTTAAAAAATGTATTTAAAAATATTCTTATATGCCAAATTTTTATAAATTGATATTTTACTAACTTCTCTTCTCTTTTTGTATATATATATATATATATATATCTATTTGTAAAAACAGGTATATGTAAATATAAAATATAATTTTATGTAATGCATACAATGTAATTAATTAATTATTTATTAATCAATTTAATATTTGATAGGAATTATAAATATATATGCTTGATAATTAAGGAAAACACATGAAATAGTAAGCATTAATTAGAATATTAAATTAATATTCAATATTTTGATACATTTGGAATAAAAACTTACCAAGCCATTTGACATAACTGTTTAATAATGAAACAACTCCTCTCATATCCCATACATAAGAATAAAGATCATACAGTAGTTCCCGATTACTACAATATGTTAATCTTTGAAGTAAACGATTAACAGCATTACATATTTCATTCATTTTAGCTGCTCGGGCATGCCATTCTTCAATCTAAATGTAATTAAATAATTATAAAATGAAAATTAAAAGGTAATATAATACATTTTATAAATAATTTTAAATTTGTAAAATTACATTTGTACAATAAAAAAGCATTTGTCTTATTTATATATTTAATTGTATTCAGGGCACTTCAGTTATAAAATAATAATTTTTAGTTTCAAACCAATATCCCAGTACTTTTCTATTTTTTTATATTTATATATATTTGATTTTTATGAAAATTCAAAATATTAAAAACTTTTACTTAGAAATGTAACACTTACATCTGCTTTGCCAATTGTCTCTTCCTCTTTGGATTTGTGAATTATGACATGTGCATTGCTTTTTAACCAATTGAATTCTTGCAGTAACTGAATACCTTGACCACCATGCTCAAAAGGTAAATAAAAAAGATCACACAAAAGTGATAAATCCTCATGAGTTAACTGTTTATCAATATCTTTTAAGAAGAGTGCATCCTCCTCTGGCTCATCAAGATTTATGTGTCTATCCCTATGATTCTCGCGATGCTCACCATCTTTCTCAACAATCATGTGTGTTCCATTAACTACAACTAAATGGCCATCCACTTCTATATGCATATTTCCACATGTTGCACTGCAATTCTAATTTAAAACAAGCAAATTAAAAATTTTGTAGGCACATTTTAGACAATTAGAATAGAAATATAAATTATTTTTAATAATATACTATATAACCTTATATTCATCCCTTACATAATTAATTATACTTTCAACAGCATATGTAAGATTTTCTCAGAAAAGGTAATAAAATAACACTATCGATCTTAAACCTTAATATACGATCACAGAATACAAGTATATATTTTATTTTAAAAAATTATATTATATTATTTTATTTACTAGTTCTCTGTAATTATTATGTAATTTTGTTGTTTTATATAATATATTATATATTTATATTATATATTAATTTTTTTATATTACATATACCTAAATCAGATATTAATATAATACTTATTAATTTTTTTTAATTTAATTTTTTTTTAATACATATATTTTGATAAGTTAATTTTTAATTGAATTAAACATGAATTTTATCCGAAGCCTTACAAATATATAAATTTTTACCAAACTGAATAAATGGCTAATTCTTTATTATAATATTTATAAAAAATAAATATTTTATATCTTATCAAAACTCTTTAAAAGTTTACGAGTCTCATTTTTAAAGTTAAGGAATAGCTGTTCATATACTAAAAATTTATTATTTACATTCGTTGCTTGAGGAATAAAAAAATCTTTCTTACAGAAGTATTTTCTACCATAATATCGTCATCTTGTACAGATATTTTGGATATATGAGCAGGTGAATTTGTAGGTGTAGTATTACAATCCATGGGTTCAGTGGAATGTATATTCAAACTTGAAGGAATAGTTCCACCTATGCATGTTACCAATGGTAATGTTACAGACTCATTCACTACTTTCGTTTCCGAAACAAGAGAATTCATGATAGGTCCTGAGGGTGGCTGTGCGAAAGATTCATTACCCATAACAGTTGAGCAGACTTCAGCTAGAGCTTGTAAATGATTCGAATTATTGCTTACAACAATTGGTGTTGATGCAACTGGTACCATTGGTGTTGATGTTGTTGTTGTTGTTGACGATGTTAAGCTCATGCACGTATTTACTGAAGGTATAATAGAAATAGGGATGGTAGATGCAACACAAGGCTGAGGTTTGGCTATTACACCAAACACTACACGTTTCTTACTAAATTCTAAAAGCCACTCATTAATAGCGTTTTTTAGAGCTCGACGAGGATGATACATGTTAGGAGATAAAGTAGATGGAACATCTTCTCCAACAACACCATCCTCGGTTTCAGTTTCAAGTTTAATATCTGCAGAAACTGTATCATCTACAATTATTAAACAAAATTTTATCGATTTAATTTAAAATTCATTATTGTACAATGAAATATTAATTTTCTAAAATATAAACAATAAATTAGTCATAATTATTTAACATAATATACAACATTATATTCTTTAGTCTTATATTTTAAATATTATGAAATACAAATCAATGCAAATTATTTCTATAAAGTATGTGATTTATTACTTACTCAAACTAAGATCTCGTTTACCATCAACATTACATCTACTCCATTGGGCTAAGGTATGAATTGCTATAAAATTTGCACCATATTCACAATTTGGATTCGTTAAAACTCCATGAAGTTTTGGTATAAGATCTGGAGATCGTCCTGAATAAGGTCCGAGAAATACCCGTTTTTGATCATAATCATTGGCATGTAAATTATCCCAAATAACTGGTGGTCGTCTCAGAACCTCTGTAATTTCTTCAATTGACTCAACTGTTAATAATCTAGAGATTACTTTTGGACCAGTCCACATTATATCTATTTCTTGTGCTAATTTACTCCCTAAAGTATTGAGGTACTCAGAAGTTGCAACATTAGGCATTGCTCTTGTTGCACAATATTGTGTAGGACATAAAAGAAAACGAGGTTGACCGAGATGTTGAAAAATATCATTGGTTACAGAAACCTTAAAAAAATTAATTTTTGAACAAAATAATTAACAAACGATATTGTTTAAAAAATAATATATTAACAAAAATAAATTTCAGTTACCATTTTATTTTTTAGTATAAATTTTAATTGTTGCCAATTATAAATCATTTTAATTTTTAAATTATAAAAATTATTCAAATAAGTAGGTTAAATAAATTAATATTGAACACTACTTATTTCAGATTTTGTAATAATAGTTGTATTACCTGAGCATGAGCAAAGGATTGAAAAACTTCTTTATCAGCTTCACTCATTTCAGGTTCAATATCATCAAAAAGTAATGCAAATGCTTGACAACCAAATTGACTAACTTGTTCTAATTTCCGTTTTAATGCTGTAACTTCTTTAACATTTGAATAAGTTATATCAAGGCCTGGAGATAAAGCATAATAAAATGTAATTCCAGATTCTCTAGCAGCAGTAATAAGTCCAGTTAAATGTTCAGCCTCCTCTACAGTATACAAATCCCTCCAATAAGCTCTGTGTTTATAGTCATCTTTGGGTGCATATAAGTAAGAATCCATTCCCCATTTTTTTAGCCTGTAATCAAATTAATTTTTATTATAAATTATTAAATTAAAATAACAATCAAGAAAAATTAACCATACTTTCTGAATAAATCTTTTCTCTGTTCAGTAGTCCATGGTCGACCATAAAATCCTAAAATATTTAAGTTAACTTATATAGTATAAATATGTCTGAACTACTTTTTTTAATAATAAAAAATACTAATTTACATGTATTTAATTTGAATATAAATATATTATTAAAGTATACTTTGATTACAAATAACTGAAGTAAACAAATAAGTATAAATACAATATACAAAAAATAAAACTACTCTTATTAATTTTCAATCTACTATATATATATTATATAATGTTTACCATATAAAAGAAAAATGCGAAATATGTTTTTCTATTTACCTTCAACAACGCCACATATGAAATTTCCATTCTTTGTATTTAAATTGGCGGATCCATTTGTTTCCGCCATTACTAATTCAGATTTTAATCGATGACTTGCCGTTTTTTTTACAAAAATTAAAAGGCAAATACAATTGAAATGGCGATAATCCGAAAAAAACAAATAAGCGTAAAAAAATTGTTATCACTAATAAAAAAGACTAATATTATTTATGTTATTTACAATAAATATTTTGCAACGCTTTTGCGTACTAATGTATTGTTTATTTAAAACATTAAAATAAAGACGCATTTGAATTACTTCATTGTGCGATACAAAACAATAATAAGTATTTTGTATGTCAACATAAATTTTACGAGATTTTGGAAAAAATTGTACTGATTCAACAAAACAATTAAACGAACTGTATACGTTCTACCATTCTTGATCGTAAGACTATGAAAATGAGATAGATACGTATGATAAATTAGACTAGTCTGTTTATACCAACAGCGACACTGTCGTATTGGAAAACTACAATTAATTTTGATAAATTTAAAAATTTTAAACAAATATTTTACACATTTACGATTCAATTTTCAAAATCAATTTTTATATGTATATGTATTTCTGGTATTTCATAACAATATTATTTTAATAAAAATATTATATTTATTTAAGAATAAATTTGCACAGTGTTCTTTATTACAATTATTTAATCAAATTACATCAATTTACAATATTGATATTTAAATTTAATTGTTTTCAGCTATTTATCGATATATTTATTGATGTTAAAGTTAACAATATTAAAATCTCAATACTGCATACTTAATAATTTTCCCTTAAAAAAAATTCTTTAACAACTTATTCCTTTCTATATTTATTCAATCATGAGGTTGCTAAAAATATTTTTTATAAACACAACTGACTACAAGTTTTGTCAATTTTCAATCATAATTGTTTATAGATTTTTGAGCTTCTATTAGAAAATTTACAAAAAATATATAATAAGGATGTTTTAGAAATACTGTGACTTTTAAATGATTTAATAAATAATATAAAAAGTAATAAAAAAAAGTAGTAGGAAAGGTTTCAACATTTCAAAAAATTAAAGGGGAATAAAATACTTCTTAAATATATTTAATACGAAATGAAAATAATTATGAAAATAACATCTTTATTTATTTCTAACAACGTTAAGAAAATAGAGCATAGTTGATTTTATAATTGATGCCAAATATTATATAATAGGTAAATTACAACAATAAATTTATTTTCTGAGATTCGATTAATTTTCCTGAATATCTTTATTACTTGCGAAAAAATCGTGTAAAAGTAAATTAAAAATCTAGCTAGCACTATAATGCTGTGCTGAATTCATGTGCTGAGCTTGGAAAGTGTGCGTGTTGAATATTTAATCAAAATGAAAATTTTTAATATTCAACCTATGTTATAAATTTTCCTGTCAGCATTCCCAAGTGTTCATCTTTAAGCGATTATAACTAATATTGATATGTCAGTTTATAGAAAGACTACAAATCACATATTTATTTGGAAGTCAAGTATAAGAAATTAATAAACAATATTATTCTATATAATCGTATTTGAAATTATATCAGCAATTTTTCATACATAGTTAGTTCTTGATGTAAGCACTAATTGATATGCTTACTATTTATTATGAAACAAATAAATTTATATAATTAATATTATTTTTTAAATTTAAAGGAGTGACTAATTTTGAATACAAATTACAGTTTGTAAGAGCTATGAATCGTCTCCATTTTTTGTAATGAGGCAAATTATCGATGGTAATATTGTAAGGTACAATTGCAAAAGTAAAATTTCAATATATAGTTATTATAAGTATATCTTATAATGATAATCATGATCAATTTGTATAAACAAAATTTATTAACATGACCATTTAAATTTACAATTGAGGAATTATGACTTTCTATTATAATTTGATTTATAAAACCAATCCTTTATTTTACTACTCAATAAATAACAAATCAGATTAAGAACTGGTGATTATACAGTCTTACAAAACTTATTTTATCCATACCAAATATATTTTCTCTTAACAAATTTTGTGTTGACAATTTTCTGAACTACGCAATAATGGGGTGATGATTGGCTGTTCTATCCATGTTATTTTTCTAACAAAAAATGAAAAAAAAAACAATAAAAATAAATTGAAACAAAAGTTTAATTGTGGCACATAATTTATATAAATATTGGATTTAATGTATTATTAAAAGGCGATAAGTTAAGACTTTCAACTGCGCATGACTCTCAAAATCGTATTATCTATACTCAATTAATCAATTCATACAAGACATTAAATATTTTTTTTAATATTCTTATAATACATCTTTATCTTATTATATATTATGTAGAAAATAACCGTTCCTGCAAATTAATTGATAATATGATTATGAAATTTATAAAGTCGCATCATTCTTGAATTAGAGATGGCCATATTTAAAAATGTTGAATGTTTTCTGATTGTTATTAATGAAAAATAATATTAATGATATTTGAAGTATCAAGTATGTAGATGGAAAATTTATCAGTAATATTACTTAAGAGTAATGTGTCGTTAATCAATATTTAATTAAAGGATGTTTGGTCATATAAACAGAAACTTAGTACCTATTAAGGCTCATTATTTTTTATACTATGGTGGTAAATAAGTTTGTTTTTAATAAAATTTTTTGCTTTTGCAGTCATTTACATTATTAAATAATATATTCTAAATAAATTATTATATATTATTAAGTAATATATTACAAATTAATTTAGTATCAGCATATTTACTTAAATATTTTGAAATAAATCACTGTAAAATTTACTTATTAAAATAAAATGTTACTCTTTCTAATACAAATATAAAAACATTGAAGTTTGATATAAATAAATATTTAAATTCATAGAAGTTTGCTATTGAAAGATCTAGAGACATCAGAAAAGAAGACTAAGTATTTAAAAAAATTTTTTAAATGTTTTATATTAAGAATTTATATAAGTATTTATATTTTATTAATGAAATACTTCTTAAATATTTTGATGAAAATATAATACATAAAAAATAAAAGCTTTGAACATAGTGAACTTATTAAATTATTGTAACATTTATAAACTTATATTTATAAATTATATATTGGTTTTTTCTTCAAATAATAATATGTAAAATATGTATTAAATCAGTTTGTATTTTAAATAAATAATTTTTTTTGTTTAGCTACAGGTCCAATTATGCAATTTTTACCAACCATAGCAAAGCAACTAGGATTTTCAGGACTTCTTGTTGGAACAATTTATACAATATTGCCAATCTCAGGATTAATAGCAAAACCTTTATTTGGTGCTCTGGCTGATAAATTTAAACTTCATAAAATATTTTTTATAGCATTTCAAATATTTTTAACAGTGGCATTTTTTACAATCAATTTTATACCTCAAAATGAAAATAGTGCAAAAACTGTATTAACTTGTGATAAATATACATTTTTGGAGTTATGTTCTGAAAAACCATTTTCAGACTTAAATTCTTCAAAAATACAGAGTACCGTAACAGATAATGTTAATTGCCATCTATCATGTACAGTTATATCAGTTAAAGATTTTAAAGCATTCTGTGATTCATGGCACATTCATGAATACTGTTTTTTAATTGAAAAATTTACTTTAGAACAAATAAAACATTTTGGTACAATAGAATTTGAAGCACAATTTAATGAATCTTATAATTTACCAGTAAGTAAAAATAGCATAAAGCAATTATTAGCAATAAATATTTAAAGAATATAATTCTATTATTGTATTTCACAATTTTTAGAAAATTCAATTGTACATTAAAAATGTTTAGATAAATTTTTTTTTGTATCAAATATTTACTTAAAGAAAGTTTATATTCTTATATAAATTTAGATTTAATTAAAGATTTAAAATTTTAATAAAACATGTATTTAAAAGTAATTTTTAAAAGTTCTTATAAATAAATTTGTTAAATTGTTGATCTTTTAATAATAATTACTGATATTTTTTATGTTAAATACATATTGTTTTTAATTTAAAAAATGTATTAAATTGTAGAAAAATATTAAAATATATCTTTATTATACTTTTATATAATATTTTCATAATATAATATATAAATATTCTATATTATTGATATTTTAAATAGAAGTATGTATATTTAAGCAAATTTCTCCAATTATAATTATATAACAAAAAAATGTTCTAGTATATATACATAATATACAGTTATAGAATGTTATTTTTATTATATGAAATTATAAAAATTTCTTAATCCATATCTTTTGTATAAAAAGCAATAATAAATTTAACTTTCAAGTAATAATTCTTATTATAAAGGAAAATAATAGTGAATTGAAATTTACCAATGAACCTGTTAGATTTATTTACTCTGATCATAAACAATAATTTATTTTCTCTTAGTTGGCAAATTGCTTAAATATTCGAGTATTCAATGCCTCCTTTGCAAATGAAGATGTACATAAAGCTGACTGCGCTAAAACATCCTTCCGAATTGAATGTAGAATGTGGTGTCCCAAAGTTCCCTTTCTTAACAACTTAATAAAAGAAATTAATAGTATTGAAAACCCTAGATCAAAGCAAATATCTTGGAATTTTAAATGGTTTTTATGGGTATCAATTACCAGTTGGATAGGTATGGCTGTAGTAGTGAGTATTGGAGATGCAATATGTTTGGATTTATTAGGTAAGTAATATTTTTAGTTAACGACTTAATTTATGACAATTTTTTATTAATCGTGTTTTTTCTTTGTATAGGAGATGATGAAAAAAATAAAGATTATGGAAAACAAAAAATGTGGGGCAGTATTGGATTTGGAATATTTGGAATAGGTACTGGATATTTAACAGATCTTTTTAGTAAAGGAGATGAAATAAAAGATTATACCTGTATTTTTTACATTATGTTGATTGCTATGATTTTTGATATATTAATTTCAACCACATTGAAGAAGGTATTTATGATTAATGTTACTTTGCTTTATTAATAACATATCTAGTGTATAGAAATTTTCATATTATATATGAAAGTGAAAATAAATCACTCTACAAATAAATTAAACTAATTTTTATAAAATCAAATATGTACTTTCATTAATGCTTTTTTAACGGTGATTAACTAAATAAAAATTAATTTGATTAAATATGCTTATTTTTTCAATATTATATAGGATTCATAAATTAAAATTAATATAATATAATGATTTAGAAACTTATTTTGCTAGTAAATAAATAAATTTTATATACTTTTTTTTTAGAATTGTTTACGTGATACAAATGAACCATCTGTACTCTGGGAATTATGCTCTATTGGAAAAGAGGGTAGAGTTTTAGCTTTTGCTTGGTGGTGTATTGGAGCTGGTATGTGCACAGGAGTTATTTGGAATTTCTTATTTTGGTACACTGAAGATATATCTTCAAATAATACACAAAAAGAATGGTTAAAGACATTGCAAGGGTTACTTACTGGAACACAGTGTTTTCTTGGTGAAATGCCATTTAATTTTATATCTGGTAGTGTTATAAGAAAAGTTGGGCATATTAATGTTATGAGTCTTGTACTTCTTACTTATTCAATAAGGTAACTATATTTTTTTGTCTCAATAGAATTGACTATTCAGATTATGTGAAACTTTAATGTATTTTAGATTTATGGCTTACAGTATGTTTTCAAATGCTTGGATCTTTTTGATTCTTGAATTTCTCCATGGACCTTCATTTGGTTTATGTTGGCCAACTATGGTTTCATACGGAGATAAAGTAGCACCTCCAGGTACAAAGGCTACAATACAAGGACTTGTTGGAGCAGTTTTTGAAGGCATTGGTAATTAATATACAGTTTAACACTATTTTAAATAATAGAATGCAGCATATTTTTTAAAAAATTTTATTAAAATAATCTTTGAGATACTTTAGGTGTATCTTCTGGAAGTTTGCTTTGTGGATATCTGATGGATAATTACAAAGGAGTTGTTACATTTAGAATATTTTCAATTGGTGCCCTTATATGGTTAAGTATTTTTTGGATTTGGCAATTGCTACTACGTAAAGCTAAAGCATATCCTCTTCAACAAGGACATACTCGTGAGTAGATAATCTATTCATTACAAAATATCTAGTTTATAACTATTATGTTTCTGAAATTATTTTGTTACTTAAAAATTTGTTAAAATCTTTATATTTTATTTATTATTTAATTTCTTCTAAATTACTTTTTAAGAATCATTCATAATAGTAATATCATCAATGCATCTTTTCATATTTTTTTTATCATAAAAATATATTTTCAGATTTGACAAGTTATGTTTCTCCCAATGATGACACTGTCTTTATGGCCATGAGTCAAGAAATGCAAACATATTAAAAAGTGAATTAAAATTGACATATCAAAATTAATATGTAGGAAATAATATTATAAAGAGCTTTAAGAGTATTATACCTTTAGATCCTTTAATTTCATTTTTAATTATCCAAGATAAGTTCTACGTAACTATGTGAATGAAATTTTATATATAAATTTTTAAGAATTTTATTATATAATTAATTATTTAAAATTTTGAATTTGCCTACATAAATGATTAAATTCATATTTGATTGATTTTTGATCTATAATTACTTATTAATTCTTGTAAGCATATGATGAAACAAAGTATCCTTATATACAATTAATAAATTTTTTTTGGTATTAATATATGATAGGTTTATAAATTTATTTTTTATTGGAAATACTTAATATTTTAATAAAAAAATATTGATAAAAAACTAATAAATAATTATTAATATATATTTTTTAATTTTTTTATTTACAAAACCTGTTTTTTCCTAATTTTTAAAAATAAAATAATGACTTCATTACAAAAAATTTCTAATCAATTTTGTTTTATTAAATAATATGAGTATGAACAAACTAAAACTTTTTAGATTTATTTGTTAATGAAGTATGATTAGTAATTTTTATATAAAAGCAGTTTTATTGAAATTCGTACTTTTCTAAAAATAATAGTTTCCTAACCATGCTCATTATATATTATTTTATTTCTTTACTTAGAAAATATAAGTAATAAATAAAATATTATTTTATAATATTTTTATATTATACCACTAAAATTATGTACATATGTTTTAAATAATTTATATAATAATTTAATATTGAATATTATAATGAAATATATATATTAAATATAATAAAACTTAAATAGTGCCCCTTTTTCAATGCTACACAATGGAGATGTAAACTTCTTAGCTTTTTAGTGCAAAATACCAAAAAATGAATACCTTCATTAAAGAAAAAATTATATATTTTTTATTTATTTATAGGCAATAATAAACCTATAATAATTTATGTTTGGAATTCCAGCCACCTGATGGTCAGGAGATCAAGGTCGTTGAAGGAGGTCGCGGAAAGGGGTGGATGAATGAGAGGTAATGCATTAATTCAATACAAGCACAATTGGATTTAGTGACTATTATTTAAGGTTATGTTACAATTGGTAGTTGTTTTTATCGGTCGTTGTGAGAATTGTTGAGCTCGTCGTGATCTTGATAGTTGGCAGAGAAACTGCAGGTCGTTGTTCTGGCATGCAAGAAGATACTGGTTTTTTTTATACTATGGGCGCCTTATTGTACTAGCGGAACGTAACAGTATTTCTGGGAGTTAAGGTCTCTTCAGACGCGTGGCCAATAGGCGCCCTCTTTAGTGATATGAATTACGGGGGCTACCAGATAATATCGGTGTCCTCTTTAGCGATCTGGAAATGGTGCTCTCGGTAGCCTTCCCCCAATTCTTTTGATCCCTTGAGAGTCGATGAAGGCGGTCAGGCAGCGAAACGCGTGTCCGTTAAGTAACTGTTTTTTGGACTGGAGTATCTTAATTTCGTGTGAGGAGTAAGCAGCTTGAGTCGCCTTTATCCAAAATATTCTTACCGTTTCTAGCTCTATTTGTGTTATACGTTTGCTGGGAGGTGATGCTTCTTGTTTCTTCAATCGAGCTATAAATTTAAAGCATAGGGAAGTTGTTATCCCTTAGCTTGCTAAGGGTTGAATATTTGTGAATGGTGTTCCATTGATAGGTGGGCTGTCGAATTGCTGCTACTAGTGATATGCTGGGGCGGGCTTCTGGGATACATTGGTTATCATCCTGCGTTGGCTGCTTCGGTCACGAGTCCGGAGAGTGCAACCATGGAGATCCCGTCCACCATAGTAAATTATTCATAAGTTGTGCAATGGTCGATCCGCGGGATGCACAGTCGGCAGAGTTTGAAATGCCTGGAATGTATTTTCAGTGGGCGTTTGCGGTATTTACTTGTATTTGTGTAGTCTGTTTCTCACGAAGTCCTTCCAGGTGAGTGTTACTCGTGAATCTCTCCATAAGTATGTTGCATTTACCTTTATGTTTAGCGTGCTCTTTACGTATCGCATGAGTTTTGCAAAGAGTAGTGCTGCCGCTAATTGCAATCTTGGAATGGTGATCCGTTTCAACGGAGATACCTTAGTTTTTGAGCAAATGAGGGTGACTGTGGAGCCATTTGAGCTGTGGACGATGAGGTAGATAACTGCCGCTATTGCCAATTAAGAGGCATCAGAGAATCCATGCAATTCCATTGTAGATGTACTTTCAGTATTAAAACATCGTGGTATGCTGATCTTGTCGAGCTATAACAGATTTTCTCTGATAATGCGCTACTGAGCAGTTACTTGATGTGGCAGTGGGTCGTCCCAACTGAGTTTGAGCAGCCACAGTTTCTCTAATATCATTTTCGCTTTGATTACAATTGGTGAGACAAATCCTAATGAATAAAAGATTTTAGCTATTTCTGACAACATGATTCGTTTTGTTATGATGCTGGTATCTTAGTAAGGAGTCGTTGAGAACGAGAATGTGTCAGCATGTGGGCTCCATTTTTGGATCCATTTATTGCAATCGTCAAATATAATACTCCTGCTTTTGACTTACCTTCATGGCAGTGAGGATTTCTTGTTTGGTCAAGTGCCACTTTGCAAGTAGGAAACTGCCCGCCATGCAAAGATTTTTCAATTGAATTACTGTTTTAATTCACCGCTGCGGGAAGTCTGCTCCTCCAAAGATGTCATCGATATATCGACCATGGGTGATGGATGACACTGACAGAGGAAATTTTTCTCCTTCATCTTCTACCAAGTGGAGTAACGTTCTGACCGCTAGAAATAGTGCCATACGTTACGGTTATCAAATGGAATCGCACTTCCCTGTTTTTGTCATCGACACCCAGAATTCTTTGTAAGTCCTAGTAATCCTTGTGAACCTTAATTTGCCTGTAGATCTTAGTAATATCAGTGGAGAAGAGGTGCTTGTGTGTGCGTATCCAGATCAGAGTCGGAGATTTCCAGGTGCAAATTGGGTCCAGTATGCATAATGTCATTTATTAAGAAACCTGAGTTTGATTTGTTGCATCCATTGAATACTACTCTCAATTTTGTTGTAGATCGGTCTGATTTAAGCACACCATGATGTGGCAAATAGTAGTGGATTTTATTGTGATGGTACAGTGGAGGAGCTCGCTTCATGTGATGGAGTTCCTTGTATTCCGTCATAAATTGATGATATAATTGACGATAATTATCGTCTCTTGATAGGCGCTTCAATAGGCTTTGTAGACATTGATGGACAATGTTGTATGAATTCCCAAGGACCTTAGTGGATGCCTTAAGTGGTAAATGGATAGTATAGTGTCCAGTGAGGTCCCTTGAGTGAGCTCTCTTGAACTGGTCTGCGCACCACTGCCCATCAGGCGTGTGTTGATGAGCAGGGTCCCTTGGCACTTCTTCTTACACCCAAAATCGTGTCAATAATTCAAGAAATTTCTCATCTATGTTGGAGACCGCATGTAGTGCTACTGACGTTCTGCTGTGAGTCAGGTTGACCGGTCCAATTACTAACCATCTAAAAAAGGACAATTGTGCCATGGGCATTGATGGAGACACAGAGATGATATTGGGCTTAATGATCTGTCCATATATGTCTGTTTCGAACACAATGTCCACTGGTCTGGAGATAAGATATTGTGGATCGGCTAGTGTCAAATTTTCAAGATGTGACCATCTTAAACTTCATGTTTCGAAGGATGGTAGCATAGCCATCAGTGTTTTTGAGGATGTGAGCTTGAACTGTGACTGCGGAATTTGAATAAATTGATTGAAGGGTGAGGAACACAACGCCTTGTGCTTGTGCGGATGGAATGCCTCCAATGCCTTGTATGATGATGACTGAATGTTGTTGAGGTAATTTTAGCCTTTTAATTAACTCTGAGGCGAACGTAATTTCAGAGCCTGTGTCGGTTAGAAGTCGGGCTTGTAGCGTGGTCGATGGTGAAGTTATTCTTGCCAATGCAGTGGCTAACAGGATTTTTGCAGTCAGTGGAATAGTTGAATTGACGATTGCACCGTCCTGTCAACTGGGGAAGGCTGTGATGCCGGGCGGTATCCTTGTAGTTGGATTCGGATCCTTATGTAATAAGGTGTGATGTCGTTCTTGGCACCTGTAGCATTTGTTGTCTGACGAGCACTTGTAGGTCGAGTGGGACCCTAAGCAGGTGCAACATAAGCGATGATTTTTCTTAAATTGAAATCTTTGATTAAGTGTCCATTGTTTCAATCTTGGGCATACGGATAAGTGGTGCAGCTGTTGGCAACCGCGTATGTGTCAGTCCGTGGGAGAGTGCGTAGACCTTAGGAAGTTGTAGCGACCGATGATTGGTACATCTTAGCTAACCTTCTTGTGCTTGGATATGCTGATGAACGGTTTCCTATTGTTGCAGCTCGTCTCTTATTCGCTACTACTCTTACTCTTGTCATTAGAATTGTATGCAGTTGATCGTACTTGTAGTAATTGTTGGATCTGTCTAACGATTCTTCCCACTGTTATCTTGTGCGCTGAGTAAGTCATTTCGGTACCTGATGGACAGTTAGGTACTCCCTCGTGTCTTCTTCCAGTTATAATATCCTCAACCTTTTCAATAAGTCCTTTGCATCACGAGCGTGGTCTTCCAGTGAATCAGCCTCATCTTCTACTCGTGATGTATTAGAAAGGAGTTGGTCCAGATTGGTTCGACGTACAATCTTGAATCCTCATATTTGTCTGTTAATGCCTCCGATACTCCAAGGAAGCCATATGTTATTGGAATTCTTTCGATAATTTTCAAGGCTTTTCCTTGTAGGGAGTTTCTGAGATATTGTAACTTTTCCACCTGGCTGAACATATCGTTATCCAAGATGACTGATTGGTCAGGTCTCGGAAAGTTGGCCATGCCAACTAATCGCCAGAGGAAGTGGACAGTGGAAAGTCTGGAAGGCAGGCTATTTTCATTGGTACCTTCGTCGTTGGGAAGACATCCTTGGACGATTTCGAAGTCCCGGGTGGGTCTTGAGCTGGTTCCCTTAGCTCCCGATGTAGCTTATCGAGTGCGGTT